TTAATCATGCCTCGCTCTCTGCTACACTTCCAACATTTCAACAGTTTGTCAGCTGCTCCACCAGAGAAAACAAGACATTAGATTTGTGTTATGCAAATGTAAAGAATGCATACATGTCCAAAACAAGACCTCCTTTGGGACAATCAGATCTTGTTTTTCTCTGCTCAGAATACAAACCACTTGTTCAGAGGCAACCTGTGACAAGAAGAACTGTGAAAAAATGGTCACATGATGCTGACAAAGCCCTGCAGGGTTGTTTTGAGACCACAGCTTGGATGGCTCTCTGCCAAGGATATGAAGAGGACATCAATGCCATGACTGGATGTGTCACTGACTATATAAACTTCTGTGTGGACAACATCATACCCACCAGAACAGTGAGATGCTTCGCTAATAAATAAATAAAAACCTGGATCACCAGTGAACTGAAGAATCTGCTAAATGAGAAAAAAAGAGCCTTCAAGGAGGGAGACAGGGAATTATTGAGGAGTATACAGAAGCAACTGAAGATCATGATCAGAGACAGCAAATAGGCATACAGGAAGAAGCTACACAGCTGTGTGCTACAGCCAAACTACAGAGGAAAAATATCAGAGATGTCTGGTCAGGGATGAAGAAGATCACAGGCTTCAAGCAGAGGAAGGATTGCACAGATGGCAGCCTGGACACAGCCAATGAACTGAACAAGTTCTTCAATAGGTTCAGTTCAGGAACAAACCCAGCATCCTCCTCGCCTGTCCCCAGCCAATCAGACATCCCTTCCTCCTCTGATCCAACATTTTCCTGTCACACACCAGCTCTTTTGTCCTCTAACGCAGTCATGGACTCTTCTGGTTCTATGAATCTGTCTTCAACCAAATCAGGAGATGCTGCTGCTCCATTTACCTCCCCCTCCCACCTATCTGTCTCTAGAAGTCAGGTGAAGAGGCAGCTGGAGAGACTGAACAGGAACAAGGCTGCAGGTCCAGATGGTGTCAGACCCAGAGTACTGAAGGCCTGTGCAGAGCAGCTCTGTGGGATTCTGCAGCACCTCTTCAACCTCAGCCTGGTCCAGGAGAAGGTTCCAGTCCTGTGGAAGACATCCTGCCTTGTTCCAGTTCCAAAGAAAACCCGCCCATCAGTCAATGACGACTACAGACCGGTTGCCCCTGACATCCCACATCATGAAGGTCCTGGAGAGACTCCTGTTGGTCCACCTGAATAAGCAAACTAGAACATATCAGGACCCGCTGCAGTTTGCTTATCGCCATGGAGTTGGAGTTTAAGATGCCATCATCCAGCTGCTTCAACCAACCCACTGTCATCTGGACAAAGCAGGCAGCACTGTGAGGGTCATGTTCTTTGATTTCTCCAGTGCATTTAACACAATCCAGCCTGATGTCCTTTGCCAGAAACTCCAAAAGACACAGGTGGGGGCCCCAACTATCGCCTGCATTAAAGACTACCTGACAAACAGACCACAGTTTGTGAGGCTGAAGAACTGCACATCAAACCAGGCGATCATTAACATTGGAGCACCACAGGGGACTGTACTCTCACCATTCCTTTTCACCCTGTACACCTCAGACTTCCAGTACAAATCAGAGACCTGTCAGGTTACTTGTGTGTGAACATCCCCAAACAAACTCTCTAACTCAAAGAGACGAGGTGAAAAACAATGTCAGGGTTTCTTTTTATGCTGTAAAGGAAGAGCTCTAAAGACTGTCATCCACATGGAGATAATCTGTAGTTTTATTCTTGTTAGGGCATGCTATAAGTTGTATTCAACAATTCAGGAATCTGTATTAACTTCCACAAACAAACTCATTTTGCATGTTGGATTCACCATTTTGCCGGTTTCCTCTAAAACAGATCCAGAGTAAACTCCTCTCCCTACTGACTCGGCTTTCACCCTGAACGCTGATGCTACCTGCTAACCTTTCCAGCACAGAGGGCTTGCTCCCTGAGAGCTGATATTTGCAGCCAACCCCAACCAGACGTTTCTGAGCTGCGTTCTGCAATTACTTTAAGTCGAAAAATCCACTGAACCTTTAAAGTGTTGATTAAGTTCTCATGGCTAGACCTAGTCTGAGACAAAGGGTATGAGCAGACAACACGCGTAAGTCCTCTCTGATCCACACGGCAGGACTTTCCGCTTCCGCATGTTATCGAAGAAACAGGAAGTCACACAATAAATGCTCCCTCGGGATGTCTAATCATGAATGACTTTCAGCCCTTTGCCAACCAATCAGCACAGCAGAGTGTCCATAGCATCCTCAGACCAGGATATGGACCAATAATAAGGTAAAGATAGGTTCTACCAAATGAACAAGTTAAACATAAATAAAAATAAAAACAACATGTTTGAATTGTGTAAAACTGAACAACTTCATTTAATATTCATGGCAGACTAGGACCAGATCCACCTGTGGTTCAGACCAGATCCAGACCTGTAAGAGTCACTGCCTTTGAAGGACAAAAACCAGATAAACACAAATCAACTCTCTGAACTGTGTCCTGTTGCCACTCAAATACAGTTTTACACAAGACCTAAACTAAACATGTATGCTGTTTATAGAGGCAGTAGAGCGCTTCATGGCAACACAAAAAGATGCAAAAGTTGAGGTTTAGGTTTTACTTATTTCCTTTTATCTCTTTATAATGAGATAGCTGTGCTTAAGTTTGGAAAGCACGTCACGCAACGGTATATTAAAACACACATTAGGAGCCTGTTTAATGTGACTTTTAAAAGTAATGCGTCCCACAACTCTTGTGTTATCACCTCAGAAGACCCAGAGGACATAAAACGGTGTGTTAATGGGGATAGTTCACACTGAGAGCCAACACAATGAGCTGGTTGAGCACCAGTGTGTGGTGAAGTCTGAGAATCAGAGGGTAAAACACAAGGAAGTGATGCTTGTCGGATTCAGATACCGGCGAGTTTGGCTTCATTCATCAAGGCTACGATGAACCCTCCATGTGCTGGTTACTGATTTACTTCATCATGAAAATATGAGGAACAAATGTGCTCATCTTCCCATTTGTTTCACTATCCTGTTAGGTTCAGAAGACTTCAACGTTAAATGTAAAAGCCGCAAAACATCCGACTAGATTAAAGGTGGTTGCAGGTGTTGTGTCTGTGACTTTTAGAGCTCACAGGTGTCTTACAGTGGGAGTAATAACACAGTCCCCTGGCAGGCGTACAGCTCACAGTTTTTAGTCTCATATCTCAGAGCTCAAACACACCAGGAAGGGCAGTAGACTCTATGATGATGGATCGTCCTTAGATATTTGAAAAAGATGAGAGACTAGACACCACGCTTGTATTGATTGTTTCTGATGGGAAACTCTATTAGAAAAAGACATAGCACCCGTTAAGATGTCAAAAAGTGGGCTTGAGCTCCATCCAGCTAATCTAGACGGGTGGAGGACAGTGTGATGAAAGATTGTACAGGGGCCAGGGCTTCCGCTAAATCTGATATATATGACAGAAAGAGTTTGCTTTGTGGAAGGTTTTATGTTCAGACAAATGCTTAAAGGACAGTGCAGTTTTCAGACAGACGTATTAAAGGATGTCACCATTTCTGGGGTCCAGCCGGCATCAGAGAGCACTTCAATCATCAATGCTGGCAGCAGAAATGAGTGCATCAGACCCTCAGATGGAGATTTATAGAAGGAGGGCTGATTAGTGCATCACTAATGAAGGACTAACTGTTTGGTCTTTTTAAACCAAGATTTTTCATTTTTGCTGCAGCAGCGTTTTGCTTTGATCTTTCTTATAATCAGTCATAAAGTTGGATCACCATTTCCCTCTCTGGATCGTACTTTTTTAGAATTAAATGTATTAAAACTGAAAATACCATAAACTACTCGGCGACACACTTGTTAGGTCCACATAACTAGTATCTGGTTGGACTTCCTGACACCTTCACAATCCTCTTAATTCTTCAGGTCACTGATTCAACAAGATTAAGCAAACATTCCTGCTAACTTTGTGCCAAAGTTATGATCACATAAGGATAGACAAAGAAGATTAGCGTCTTGGAGGATTATACTCATTTAGCTTTAGCTTAGCATAAAACACAGTAAGTGAATGGATCCAGCTAGCATTGTGAGTAAAAATGTCCTTAAAATAACTCAGTGGTGAATATCCCAATTCTTCTTGGTGACCTAAATAATCATGTTGGCTGCACGTAAAAATAATAAGTAACATAATCACAGGTGCCATTTTAGACAAGGCACGACTGTAAGCCTCCGCTGAAAGGTGCAAGGCAGCCCCAAAGACACCTCCTTCCATAAAATGCACAAGTTGTTAATGAACAACCATAAAACACACACACACACACACACACACACACACACACACACACACACACACACACACACACACACACTTTCAGTTGTGGGTGGAATATCCCTTTAAACGTGCTGTTGTACAGCTAATTCTGAAAAGTTTAAAGCTCTACACTCCCATTATTGTCTAAAATTCTCAAAACATAAATTATTGTCGATATCACATCTAGATGACCATCAGTATTTGGACATCTGATTTTAGACAAAAACATAATACTGAATCTCAGCATTAACATGTATTCAATGACATATTTTTGGCTGCTGACACAGGGTATCCCATGGTCTTGGTACTGCTTGAACAACCTGCAGTCTTCAACACAGTAGATCAAAACATTTTGATCTCAAGACTGGAGCACTGGGCCAGTATTACCAGTTTGGTCTTGGTTTGGTTTTGTTTGTAATTCACAGAAAGGAGCCTTGGAGTCAGCATGTGCATAGGGACCAGTGTGTTTGTGGTGTTTGTCTCTTGGCAACCCGGGAACATGCCACACAAAGGCAGAACCATATCGTAGCCTCAATCCTGCCCCGAGAATTTAGCTGGCCGTAGTATTTCCTATTTTTTTAAACATCTTTAAGAAGGCAGTCTAGACACAGCCAGAAAAGGGAGGAAGCACATCCATTCTTAAAGCTGTCCAAAGAAGAGATTGAAATAATAACTCAAGGATTACCAGTATAACAGAATAGAGTTTCTTCATCTCCTCGCATGTCTTCATCAGACAATTCTGATCCGTGTTGTATTTCTCAATTGCCATCTAGGATAAGGAGTGAAGCACAAAGAGCCTTTAGTTTAAAAACAAGATTCAACAATAATCAGATTTTATTTAAATTTATGCAAAAACAATAATTAAAAAACTAACTTGACATTGAAAGTCAAACAAAAGTAAGCCTCACAGAATAAAGGAGGTAACAAAGATACAAATGATCATCTTCGGTGGTAAATTGTCTTGTAACAGTTGTCCTCCCAGTACAGAACCAGTAGATATAAAGACCAGGATGGAGACTTCTGTTGGTTTTTCTGGCTTATGTTGTTCGACAGCACGTCTAGCCTGCTGCCACACGACTGAAGCAGCCAGTGATACTTAAGTTTGTTTTTGTCTCCGCACAGAAATTATTCAAGAGTTTTAAAATTTTACACAAATCCTCACGTCACCTTTCAGCCACAGCTGAGCCACATTTCCTCTTCTAAGGAGTGAGTGTGCTCAAACAATATTTTAACACATCAGTAAAGAAAACTGAAAATAAATGTTTGCTGGGCATTACTTTCTTTTGTAGAGGCTGAAATCTCATAAGCGGTGTCTGAAACTATATATATCTATAGAATCCATATATATATATATATATATATATATATATATATATATATATATATATATATATATAAACAAAATATTTTGAAGGCTGAAATAAGCATCAACTCTGAACCATACATAATCTCAGAAGTTCACCTCAGCTTTCAAATGAGAAAAATTAAACTCCCATCCTTTTTGGTGTTTGCCTCCACAGGAGCCAGATGTTTTTTGTTTTTTTACAGTAATGAACTACCCTGGCAAGTCATCCTGGAAATATGAATATATAATCTGGCCGTGACCCATTAATAGAGCTCTGTCATGAGGCGGAAGCAAAGGTAAACTCTCAAACTGCCTCTGCACCCAACTGTACAGTGCTAGGACCAATCAGAACAAATAACATGAATATGCTACGTAAATCAGACACATTTGTTGTTGAAATTATGCTGTTGAATCGCCGTTTGTGCTGCGACGTCTCCTGTTCAGCACCCTGGACAGCTCCGACCTGAAAGGCTCTCAGGTTCAGCACCACGGACAACGCCTATATGCCTTTAAAGCAGGTATGTCAATAAACAGCTCAGCTTAACTCATTTCCCAGCCCACTTCATTCATTTACTCTTAACAGTGGGTGTTTGTGTGGTGTGTAACATTAACACAACAACTGACTGCATCTCAAATCTGATGTGATCTACTCTGAGTATCTGAGAAGCTGCCCCCCTCTTCTCTTTCATGCCTGACATGCCTACAGGTGCTTTAAACCCAACACACACATTGTGCTGATTCCACACAGTGAGTCAAACAAGGTCTTATTGTGCTTCTGCATCCTTTATAAACATCTGTTGTCTGCTACATTCGCTCATATGGTGAAGTGAATATTTGCATTTTAATGGAGCCATGTCTAGCATTCCCACATGTACACTCAATCAGTGCTCACAAGTCATTACAGAAATTGATGGTGATGTACAGTTTTTGCATGAACCACTTTTGGAGCACAAAACAAAGTGCTATCTGATTTTAATGTGAGATGAACCTGAGCCAGAGCCAGAGTCTGACTGAAGTGTGCAAAACGAATGGGTTAGGATTCATGGCGTCACACTTTCGTTTATACTGGAGAGGATTCTGAGTGTGAGATTTCCTGGTTTAAAGATCGAGTTTGCTAATAATTTTAATACATTTGATGTGGTCTCTAGTATGGATAAGTGCCTTGTAACTCATTCGGGGGGGTTGGGGGGTCATGTGCTGAACTTAGCACAACATGATTTGGAGTCTTATTTCCTGATATTTGGACATCTACCACTACCACTGACTCAGTGTGTTTGGAGATGTTGATGTTTTATCTTCATTGGTAACACAAGCCCAGAGGAGCTTCTGCTGTGTGGTGGAGTTGCTAATGATAACGGTTGGTTTCTGTTTGCTGAGACGTTTTCTGCTGTTTCCTGGATGCAAAACAAACAACAGCCTTCTCTGTCGTGAGTCCAGATAGGAGACTCCATGAATGCTAAGTGACAGTGTAACACAGATCTGTCAGATAGGTGTAGGAGACTATTTTCTTGTTCAGCCTGTATGAAAAACTCAGTGACTAATCTTTTTCAAGACTAATAAGTAAAAGATGGTTTCTCAGTGAACCTGCTCTGTAAGAATAAACCATATTTTAGAAAGACATATCTACAACAAAGTTTTGTTGGTAATAAGATGTCTGGTCACCCAAGCTCTCTCACTAACCACCCTTCACTGGTTTATTACACCGTGGTTTCTTAAGTCATTTGTCAGATCCTACAGTTGGACTGAGATTTCTTCATGGAATCCCAGAGTGCCTTGCTCTAGTTCTGTTCCTATTTTATTGCTCGCCTCCCTTTGGACCACTTCTGTCAAGCGTCAGCCCTTGAGAGTGACTTTCTTGTGTTCTAGCACACCTGGTTTAAATTATTGTGTGATTAAAAGGCTTTTATAGAACTTAGGGACATGCTGAAAAAGTCATTCAACCATTGAATGTTAAACTTGTTGGACAGCGGCCCTCAGCGACCAGAATTTGACATTCAACTTTCCTTAGAATAAAAATTCACCCTGCCAGTTTTATTAGTTTCATTGAGAAAGTTTAATTCGAGCCACCAGTGGGTCATCTCAGCCACTTCGTGATGCCAGTGATACAACTCCACCCAAGAGCTGTGACACGTGTTCGTTTCAAACTGTCGGCTGCTACCATCTTCGAAAGTTGATCAATTGTATAACATATGTTTAACTAATGAAGCTCAGACATTAATGTAAGAGTTACTCATCACTGTGACCCTTTCTTTAACAGAAAATCTTTATAGTATCATAAAAGTCTAATTATTGTGTGAATTAATAGCTTTTTCTTCACCTTCAGATCTTTAGAGAAGTGTGGGTGATTAGCAGCAATGTTTTTTTTCTTAAAGGTTTTTCCAGACTGAACAATTTTCTGCAGTTCATTCTTCAGCACTGTGGAAACAGGAGGAAAAAAGCACAATCAAAGAAAAAGTGTGTTACCGTTAGCCTTTCACACCAGTCCAAAGCAAGGTCAGCAACTTCAACTACGGCCTTCAGACACAGTAGTAAAACACGATCTACTCACCGTCCACTTCTGCGGTTAAGCCTTTGATGGAAGCTTTCCAAAGAAGAGGGAGAAAGGTTAAATGAGTGACACACACCTTTTCACTTACTCGCCCTCAACTGAAAAACACCGCTGTGATTTTTTTTTTTTTGCAATTTAATGATTTATTTTGCTTTTGATAAAATCTTGACGAGCACATACCTCCTGGGATCGTTTCGAATTCCGCCAACTCCTCTGTAAAAACAGCCAGACCCGGTTGGTGCAACATGATCTGCTCCACAAGGGCATGGAGCAAGGTGAAGTTCTTGTCGCTCCCTCGCAGCTGGGAGAGCTGCGGAAAGAGAAAACACACGTTTAAAGATATAAAGGTAATGAAGGACACAGGTGAAGCCAGCTGTCCCTAATTGTGATTAATTTATCAGAATCAGAATAGGTTTATCGCCATTGTCAGTGAACAAACAATTCACAAACTAGGAACTTGCTTCGGTACTAATGTGCTACATATAACATGAATAATAAGATTAAAAATAGAATAAAATAGAATAAAACTTTCAGCTATAAAAAATGGCAGGTAATGGTAACATGGCTGATAACGTGACGTTGTGTCGAGTACCGAAGACGAGCATGGTTGTGTGTTTATAATCTATTCACAAGTCTAACGGCAGATGGAAAGAAGCTGTTCTTATGGCGGGAGGTTCTGGTCCGGATGGACCGTAACCTCCTGCCTGAGGGAAGCGGCTCAAAAAGTCTGTGACCCGGGTGCGAAGGGTCAGCTGCTATCCGACCTGCATGCCCCCGAGTTCTGGAGACGTACAGAGATGGAAGGCTGCAGCCAACCACCTTCTCAGCAGAGCGCGCAATGCGCTGCAGTCTATGTCTGTCCCTCACCGTGGCTCCAGCGTACCACACAGCGATGGAGGAGGTGAGGATGGACTCAATGATGGCCGTGTAGAACTGCACCATCATCTGGGCCGGCAGCTTGGCCTTTTTCAACTGCCGCAGAAAGTTCATCCTCTGCTGGGCCTTTTTGATCATGGAGCTGATGGATGGCTCCCACCTATATTATAAATATGGATGTGATATTCACCTGTGAATAGGTAAATAAATCCTAACCTCAGTGGGCTATTGCAACTGTTGGTACCACATAATTTAAATTCAAGAAGAATCTCTCTCATCCTTGATGTTCTCTCTCGTTTTTTTAGGTTATGTTGTTTACCAGTTTAAGCCTCTAAAGGCTGAATATGCAACACGTGCTGCAAGTACTGATGCTCACAACCTAAAAAGGCCTCTGAGATAACCTTGATGCTTTTTTTAAAGAAGTCAACCATTAATTTGAAGAGTTTGTCCCAAGTAGCAACAGTTTACTTTTCTCAATTAGACCTGGGAACACCTCTGAGGGAACACAAGGTCTCGGTTTCATTACACGGAGCAGAGGACGTTTTACTTCTGCGACCAGAATGCCGGCTCTCGAACTCTCCCAGCAGAGCGAGCCATGCCGCAAAGTGTTCTTCAGATTCTATTCAGAGGAGTTTAAAAACACCGTCATCACCCCTCAGACGAAAAGCTGCATACATCAACGAGTTCAACCTTGGAGGGAGGATTTGCCTTCATACACACAACCAGTTGTTAAAATGAACCTCTGTTGTTTTCCTCCAATGTGAACATTTTAATGCAGTTTTGTGTTTCTTCAAACCTTCTAAAGTCTACACATAAAAGTTTGCTTTTTCACATATATTTAATTACACAGACTGAACAAAAAGTTTGAATTTTCTTATTCACGAGCTTTCAATTAAAATAAAACTTTAATTGAAGTAATATGTAATGACACAGCTACACTAGTGTAGTAGAATGTAAATAAGTTTTATGAAAAACAGACACCCCTTCTGTACTTTTTTTGTATTATAAAGGTTATGTGTACTATGTAAAGTTAAGGTTGCTGTGCTCGTTCACACCAGCAGAGGGTGCTGTGGTGCCACTGTGGGCATTGAGGGCTTCTGCGCAGGCGCAGCTCAGAAATAAACGAGCTATGGTCTGACAACGTGTTTCCCTCGTCTGTCCACAGGTATGTCTATCAAAGATAAATATTTGAGCTTAAACTTGGTCCTAATGAGATGTAAATGAATGTATATCCAGGTAGAAACACTGTAATGAAACGTTGACTGTTCCTGAAGGGTGAATGACGAGGTATTTGTGTGTTTTATAATGGGTCTGTACCTCCGCCATTTTGTAGGGTCACTTTTGTCATTCGTAGATAAATTCGCAGTACAAAACTGATGTATTTGAAGCCAAAATAGGTATTATAAAGAACAACTAAGTCTTCTAGCAGTGTCACGGAGTGTTGGGTATAAAATAAGCAGAAGTAAGGGTTTAAATTCAATTTATTGAGATTGCCACGTTGGTTGGTATTTTGTTGATCAGCCCGCCATTTAGGGTAACATTTTCATTGATTTAGCTCAGCGCTTTGGTGTGTGTGTGTGTGTGTGTGTGTGTGTGTGTGTGTGTGTGCGTGTGCGCGTGTGTGTGTGTGCGTGTGTGTGTGAGAGAGATCGGAAGTAACAGATTAACTGTGTTTTGGGGCACTAGAGAGTAAATGAAGCTCTTTTGCTGTAATGGTTTAGTGATGGGAGTGAGCAAAGGTGTTCAGTGTCATTAATTATTATTTTGATAGATTTTATTATTGTGTTTTATTAATTGTATTCTATTTACAGCCTGTATTATTGGCACTTTTCAATATTTTGTCAATTATACGTATTGATTTTCATTTTATTACTATTATTTACTGTATTGTCACTTATTTTGGGATTATTGTCTATTGTATGAATGTGTTGTGTGTGAAATGTGAGAATTAAACGAGCTGTGGTCTGACAACGTGTTTCCTTCGTCGGTCCACAGCCATAGACTCTTGAGTTCGGCAGCACGGCCTACGCTAGTGGTGTGCCTCTTGTCACCGCCCAACTTACCCCAGGGCTGGCGCCGGTAACACTGGTTGTCCCAAAAAAAAGTTGCTACCTAGATTTAACTAAGCAAACAGGTAGGAGCCTCTTATTGGATAGTTACTGCATGGACGATTATCTTTCAGCACCCCAACTGGTGGAAAGAGCTGCTTCTCGTTTCTTTAACAACCATGTGGAAACACACATCTGGTGGTCGTGGAAAAGATGTTAGTCTGTGAGCAGGGTCAGATCATTGGCACGCATCAAGCAGAGAAAACATCTAAGGAGATTACAGAAACGACTAAAAGTGGGTTAAGAACTGTCCAACGCGTTATTAAAAACTGGAAGGATAGTGGGGACCCATCGTCTTCGGGGAAGAAATGTGGCAGGAAAAAATCCAGAATGATCGTGATCAGCGATCACTTACATGTTTGGTGAAATCAAGTTGAAGAAAAACAACAGCAGAAAGCCAGGGCACTTCCACGTGCACAATGAACACGAAACTCAAGGGACTGGGACTGAACAGCTGTAGCTGTAAGAAAACCACTAATCAGTGAGGCAAATCAGAAAAAGGCTTTAATTTGCTAGGGAGTATTACAATTGGACTCTGGAGCAATGGAAGAAAGTCGTGTGATCTGATAAGTCCAGATGGAGCCTGTTCCAGAGTGATGGCGCATCAGGGTAAGAAGAGAGGCAGATGAAGTGATGCACCCATCATGCCTAGTGCCTACTGTACAAGCCTGTGGGGGCAGTGCTATGATCTGGGACTGCTGCAGTTGGTCAGGTCTAGGTTCATGAGGTCAGCTGACTACCTGAATATACTGAGTGACCTGCTTATTCCATCTTCCCTGATGGTACAGGCATATTCCAAGTTGACAATGCCAGAATTTGTCGTGAAAGAGTGGTTCAGGGAGCATGAGACAGCATGTTCACACATGGATGGGCCACCACAGAGTCCAGACCTTAACCCCACTGAGAATCTTTGGGATGTGCTGGAGAAGGCTGTGTGCAGTGGTCAGACTCTACCATCATCAATGCAAGATCTTGTTGAAACATTAATGCAACATTGGACGGAGATAAATCTGGTGACGTTGCAGAAGCTTATCGAAACAACGCCACAGCAAATGAGTGTCATAATCAAAGCTAAAGGTGGTCCAACCGAAATATTAGCATGTGTGACCTTTTTTTTTGGTAGCGCCTTATTTTTCTTTGGCCAGGCAGTGTATGACTACATATGTTTACCCAATGACGTTGGGGATCTTGTGATTTTCTTACTATTTGACTTGACATTAGTGTTTGACACCATGGACCATGACACTTTTTATCTGGCTACAGCAATGGGTAGGAATTAAGGGAGTAGTCCTTAGGTGGTTTAGATTCTATCTGCTTAAAAGAACCTTCTGTGTCACAACGGATGTGTTCTTATTCTCCTTATTGGAATAAATGTAGAGGGTGCCACAGGGCTCCATTCTCAGTCCTCTGTTCTTTCTGTTCCTCCTCCCACTGGGGTCAAACTTTTGGAAACGCAATCATAAATTTCATCTACGTATATGCTGAGGACTGTTAGCCTGGTGGTACGGCCGCTACTTGTCTGTCCTGGGAGCTGGAGATCAGTGCCATGTTAGCTCCAGTTGCTGCTGCACTTCACACCTTTCAGAGAAACATCACAAACAGTTCCTGCTGAAGCTCTCAAAATGTTCAGCTTTGGTGCTAAGTCGACACAACATCTCTCTACAAACAGGTAACGCTGCAATTGGCCCAACATAAAATTGATCGGGTCAATGGTGGACCTGCTGAAGCTAAAACGGAGTGTGGTTAGGGAAGATTTTGCTCTGCAGGTTTATTTGACTGTGATCACTAGACTAAAGGTGGTGCAGCTGAGTCAAGGTTAGGGGGAGCACATCACTCCTGTCCAGGCATCTTTGCATTGGCTTCTAGTAGGGATGGCCACCGAATTCGGTACTTTTTAATGCACCGACCGAATTCCATAGTAGTGACTGAGTACAGGTTCACATCATATGAAACGGTGCCCTTTTCTGTACCAGTGCCGTGCACCAATGCAAGAGTGTAATGTTGTCAGTCACTGCGGGCGAGCTATAAACAAAGCAGCATGGCAGAGAGGAAGCACTCTGAAGTTTGGGTCCACCTCAATAAATGGAGTGGGTAGCTGGGTGATGATGAAACCAGCAACAATTATCTAAGTGAGGCATCACTATCTTAATCTGCTCTGGTTGGTAAATAAAATGTTTAAGATGACATTAGCTTGATATGTTAGCTTCCCTTCAGCTAATGGTGCGTTCGCTCAGAACTCCGAAATTCCTACTACAAGAAAGCGAATGCGCTCTAACGTTTGGCTTCAATTCACTAAATGCGATGGGCTGTTGGCTGATGATGAAACCAGCGACAACGATCTGAGTATGAGGCATCTTGATCTGCTCCAGCAGCAAAATAAACTGTTTAAGATAACGTTAGCTTGATAGTTTAGTTTTTGTGTACATAGCTGCTAATGGTGCGTTCAATTTCTCCTTGGAAATTCCAAATTCCGAGTAGGAAAAATAAGCAGTTTGAAAATGAACAGCAAAAGGAATGAAGACACACAGAAAATTTAGTTCACAGCACAGGTGTTTGCTTCAGTGTAATTAGCAGTTTATAAAACTACAAGGACCCGCCATCACACAGTTGGTCCAGAGGGCATAGAAGAGGATTAGGACTACATGGAGCTGGATTTGTTTTACGTCATTTAGAAACAGTTGATAAAGGTTTTCATATTGAAGAATTTTGTGCAACACTACGATGATAAAATACAAACAGTTGTATGTTATGTATCATGATATTTATCAAATATGGTTATATATTGGGAAAATTATATATATATATATATATATATATATATATATATATATATATATATATATTTCTTATTTTAAAAAGCAATTTAAATAATTATTAAACACTCAAAAGTATCAAAAATTGGTACCGGCAAGTACCGGTATCGATTCGTAGGTACCGAGAATTGGTACCGTATCGATTGAAATGTCAAAGGTACCCATCCCTAGCTTCTAGGCCATTACAGGGTTAGCTTCACCAAATTCAGATACTGAATGATGATTTTGGATCTTGTTTACAAAGTTTGTATGAGCAGTGTTCCACTGTACCTAGCTGCCTTACTGCATGAGCATGTTCCAACCTGGGTACTTTATTCTGCACAAGTCCCTTTGGCTGTCCTGAGGTCCAAGAGCAGACCGAAGGGGCCTCCTCAGTACTGGCCCCAACTTTATGTAATGCTGCTTTGGTTGAATATCAGACTGGCTCCAACTCTTACTATTTTCAAGTTTCAGTTAAAGATGCATTTCCATTGCCTAACACTCCTAGTAGGCTGTGAAATAGGTTTAATTGCTGTATTATGTTTTCTTTCTATGTGGTTTTACAGTATTATTGCTCTTGTAATGTTCTTTTGTGTCTGGTGTGTCATAACTATTGCTAGCACGTTGGCTACTTGTTATGTAGGCTACCCATGCTGTTATTTCATTTCATTTCAATTAACCTGAATGTGGCATTTTTAATTCCTTATTCGGTCAAAAAGCAAAAACAGAGAAAATAAATGATGAAAACCAAACTTGTTTAACGTCAAATGTCACCCAAACATGAACCCCAGCTCAGACCGTGTGTGTGGTTCAGGCTCACACATCTTTGTGCGATACAAAGAGTTAATAGGTGACTGTATTTAACGATTGCTCTGTTTCAAGTCTCCTGTGATGTGGTCACAGACCTGAGTCCGACCTATGTGACTGAGAGGAAATGCACAGAGGCCCTGCTGTGTATATCAATGAGTCGTCTTATTAGGCTCGAGGCGAAACTCAATCAAAGGTCAGACAACATTGGTGGAATCGTACTTTGGTTAAGGATGAGAGGCGGAATCCCTTGGCCTTTTCCTTTCCGGCGTTCTCATTCAGGTAATTGCCCATGGCGAGGAGGTACTCCAGCACAGAAACAAATGACCTGCTGTTGTACAGCTGCTGGCACAGTCTGACTTTCTGGTTAATCAGCTGGAAGACAAACAAAAGGAACACGGAGATAAGTCATTTTGCTTCTCATTTTCTCACAGAGTGTCTTTGTGAAACGTGTGTGGGTTCGGAACATACTGACACAGCCAAAAGACCAAACAACAACAACCTCAAAGCTTACTCATTGATTTGTTGTGACCATTAATCGCCAGCGCATCCTTCGACCTCGTCAAACGAACAATCAGACTTCGGTAGAGATTATAACAGCACTTAATATGTAATTGTGTCAAAAACAAAAATCCCTCTGGAATATCACGCAGCTTCCACGTTTAACCATCGCTGAACAGATCCTGTTGAATATGGATTAAAATCAGGCTGGGAAAAAAATCTAAGTGGGATTTTAGGTTTTGTCAGTAGTGTATTAGAAGGGAAAAGGAGTCGGTGCTGTGGGAACTGCAAGTTATCTTTTCCAAATAAGGCGCGTGCCAGCCAGCAACAACAATCGCACCATATGTTCCTGTTTTAAGAATAACCTCCCAGAGCCTACAAGTGGGACAGCCTCAATTAAACCAGAGAAAGCAGACGCCCAGCAACATCATCACAACAGGCTTGGCACAGAATTATCATCCGTAAGACTAGAAAAAAAAGCTCGTGCAGCTCAGAGACATACAGCACGCCACTCAGTCTGTTTCTGGACAAACCTCTGATTCCATACTGACGGGAAATTTTAATGAGAATAAATCCAAAACTCTCAGTCAGACTTGTTTTAGAGCGTAATATAAATGATGTTGCCATAACTATCAGTTAATAACACATTTTGTGAAATAATTTCATTAGCGTATGTCTTAACCTATCATCATACGAAACACGAAGGTGGACCCATGTCCTCCGATGGTGGAGGAATATGATTGCAGGAGGTGTGTTTGACATTTGGGCAGGTAGACGTTTGTTCAAATTCCTGAATGCACATGGTTGATTTCTAAGTAATCCCTTCCTCCTGTTCCATCCCCTGATCAAACAACAGGGGGAGGTCGGGGGGGGGGGGGGGGGGGGGTTGGGGACGTGGAAGTTAGCTGCAGCAGGGGCGGTGTGGGAAGTTGGACAGCTGTTTGCTAATTTCTGTTGGAATTCTGGAAGTTAATCTGCGTTTGCGCGAGCGTGTGTGTGTGTGTGTGTGTGTGTGTGTGTGTGTGTGTGTGTGTGTGTGTGTGTGTGTTTACAGGACAGAACCCTGGTTAAAAACAGAACAAATTGTTCAAAGATGTCTAAAGAAACTTTTTATTTCCTCACCAATAAAATCTTAATATCTAGTACAGGGAGCCAAAGCCATGACCATCTACTTCAGGACCATGGGACCTCTACTGCCAAAGCAGATGAACGACAGTCTATGAGCCAATAAAAGTCATTTTCTGACCCAGTTTGATGTGTCGTGGATTTAACACATGATGTCAAGCAAGCATTTATTTTCCCTGTTCAATAGAAAAAAGTCTGCAATCACCAGATTGGACCAGTGAAAAAAACCTGCCTCACAGATATTGCAATCCAAATCCATATTTCTTAAAAAGTCACATCCTGTTTATTCATTGTTCATTTCTAAAGGTGGAATCTACCCAATTCAGCCTCCGGAGGCCAGAGGCACCAAAAACACCCACTTGACTGCAGGTAGGTTTGTTATTTTTTCAGACGACATAGTTCATAGATTACCGAAGAAAGCGAAGAGTGGCAGTGGTTGTTTTTGGTGAGTCTCGTAACTTCCCCACGTCTAATAATTAACAGCCTGTTTTCTGAGTTTTTCCACCAGAACAATCAGTCAGCCATGTAAAGGAAGAGAGTCTCAGGTGAGTCAAAGTGGAGACATTTCCCTTCTCCACGTAGCTTCTGATCAAAGACGCTAGTGAAAAGGATTCAAAGCACCTTTATTACCATCATGTTTGAGATTCTGTGCTGCTTTTGTCCATTATTACACCCAGCCTTTGAGAAATGGGTGAGAAAGCTGTGTTTTCAAGCTCTGGAGTTCTATATCTCAGATTAACTTTCTTCTTTTTGTGTTTAAACAAGTCACAAAAAAGTTAGATTTACAGGACTGATCTGGTACTACAGTCATTTCTTTATGGTTTTTATGCAATCTCGGTTTAAAGCGACACCATTCCGTTTTTAACCCTTTAACCAGTTCCTTTAAAAGTGGGGTTCAGTGATTGTGTAGGTAGAAACTTTACCAACTTCAGATGAGACAGCACTCTGCAGCCCTGCTCTGACCAGGAGCAAGTAGGTGTCCTAATTAAATTCAAATAAATTCAAATTCAAATTAATTAAATTCAAATAAATTCAAATTAATTAATTAAATTCAAATAAACTTCAACTGGATCAAAGCGATTCAAACACAGATGAGGTTCTACAGTTACCTCTGATGCTGCGTCACTTACTGGGGAAGAAGAAATCGCATTAGGGAGGATGCTAAAGATTTTGTTTCTAATAGAATTAATTTTACTTGTGAAAAATCCCATAAAGTTTTTGCTGCTGAGGGCTAAGGGAATAGATGGTTCAGATCTATGATTCTGTGTAAGTTTAGCAACTGTACTGAAAAGAAATGTAGGATTATTCTAGGGGGCTCTTTACCTCCTCAACAGCTGTTAGCTATTTTCTGTGCCAGTAGCTTATAAAAGGCTAGTAGCTAGCTTTTTCAGTTTGCTGACCATCAACAAAACACATTAAAAGAAGAATAACAAAGAATCTTGCTTTTTTTTGGCATGATCCCTGCAAACAGACAACTTCGCATGGACGTGCAGATCATGTCTATATTGAGCAGTGTTGGGACGTTACTTTAAAAAGTAATTAGTTATAGTTACTGATTACTTTGTCAAAAAAGTAACTCAGTTACTTACCGAGTTACGAGATTATAAAGGTAACTAATTACCAAGAAAAACAACTACTTAGTTACTTTTTTCATTAAAGAATGCTAGAAAAATGGGTTCCCCTCTTAATTGAACTTACTTAATTTACTATAAATGAGTACAATAGTGAAATATAAATGACTAATGACTGGAACAAAATAAAATGTATGTCCAAATGTTTTTTATAATCCTAGACAGAAGGAAAAAACATCAGGAGAAAATTGAAACTTAATGAAACTGCTAATCTTTCTCCCGGTGCCATCTCACCAGCATGCATCGTGTTTGTCTTTGTGTGTGACAAAGAAAAATTAGTATCACAGTAAGCGGATCACATCATTCTTATCCTGTGCTTCTCTTCAGCGTCAGCCAGGAGATTACGACTGAATCCGAGGTACTAAGAGAAACAAAGCTTCAGAGAATCACAAGAAAGTAAAATAAAATCCGGCCAAAACGCTGGGAGGCTTTTTGATCTAGCTGCAATATCTCCACAGCCTGCAGAACCGAATGCCAACACCAACAACCGTTTATAAATATGTAACAATTATACTGTGTAATGATAAATATGATGCACCAATGAAAGTCTCATACGCACAAGACTGAGACATCCTGTCTTCTTTTATTCACCATGAGGTTGCTAAACTAACATGATTGCATTTTTTTTATCTTCGCATTTAAGTCGAAATGACCTGAATTTAAAAAAGAGCTCAGAAGTTTTCTGAAAGAATTAAAAGTCATGAATTTCTTGAGTAGTTACATATCCAAAGCGGGTTTTCTTTGAGTTTTTCTATGAAAAAACGCTTTTCCACCACCTACAGAACAATTGATTTGATTAAGATCCATCTTTTCTGCTCTATCCAGTGTTGTCTTAAAGTGCCTCTTGTGCCTTTCTGCCTTCAGAGCTATTAATCAGCAAAGAAATCAAAAATGTTCTTCAACCACCAATTCAAACATAAAAGTCAAACTTGAGTAAAAAAGCTTTCATGTAATAATTCCCCCGCTTGCCCACAGATGTTCTCTTTCATTCCTACCCAGAACCATTACGCGTGTGAACATTAGCGCTACAGAATACATTTGCATGCTTCATTAAAGAGGCAGCAGTTTTAGCCTCTTTCAGCTCAGAAGAGGCATGAAAGCAGCTCCATGCTTGGATCTTTGGCGTCACTCACAGGCTGCAGGTCACTCATGCTGATTGGAAGCTCTCTCAGAGCCAGAAGCAGGTCAAGCTGCATGCTCAGGTATGGGATGTTGCACATCTGTGGCAGAAGAAAGATGGGAGAGTATGAGCACACAGAAAAGAGCGTGAAATCATCAGACGTAGATCCGTTTGTTTAGAGTCAACTAGAGAGCAGACCGGCGGGGTTCTGTCGTCAGATCGCTGCAACAGGCTGATCTAACAGGGAAACTGAGGAGCTGACACTTTGAAACGATTGGCTGAGCTGCCAAGTCGACCTCCGTGTCTGTTCAAACGGCTCATAAATCACTCCGAGTGTCAGAGCGTCTCACTCAGGCTCAGCTCTCATCTCCTCCAAATCAAAGAGCTGCTGGTCAGACGTAGAAACATCAGGGTTAGTGATCATTGAGCCTATACGACTGCACCAGAGTCAGATATGTTTGTCACTTTCTATTCTTTACCAACTTATTTATCATCTAATGTTAATAAAACACACGTGCTAGCCTATTTTGTAATGTCATTCTAACAATATACCAGTAGCAAGCACCTGAAGGCCATCCACTAGGGGGCAGTAGACAGGTATGAGACTGAATATAGCAGGTGTGTGGCATGCTAATCCTGATGCTCCATCTGGATGCTTTAAGGCCAGAAGTGGTTTCATCAGGTTTCATTCAAGAAATAATATTTTGACATTTTCCTAAATAATAGAGAAGCACTTCTCCCCACTTTATTTTATACGTGTAGATAATTTTTTATTCAGTTATTCATTCGAGCTTTAATCTTGATATTTTTTACTTACATTTCAAAGGAAGCACTGGTATAAAGAATAAATGATCATATCTGTAGTGACAGTGTCGGATTGGGAAACAGCCTTCTGTCGAAAAGGAGAATGAGAGAAAAACTCTGCAGGACATTCAGCTGGTGGGCGAGGATGAGTGGGAAAGTATTTGCTGTGTGAGATTTTCCCTCCAAATTAAAAAAAAAAAGATTTGTGTTGGGGTGGGTGTGCAGGAATAATAATCAGGAAAATGGATTCTAGCCCACAAATGTTATTATGACATTTAATATTCAATTCTAGTTTATTTATAAAGCGCCAAATCACGACAAGAGTCGTCTCAAGGCACTTCACATAACAAACATCCCAATACAGGTCAGGTCATTCAGCCACTCGGACTCTCAGCAGACTTTAACTGCATTAGAGAAATAAACAGGAAAGAGTTCACTAAACTTGCCATGCAGGAACTCGAGTTAAAAATGCATTGGGGTTATTTCCTTCTAAGCAGTATTTAGACACGACCTCTTTACCTTTTTATTCGTTTTTTGCTTTTCTGCTTCCTCGCAGTTCTATAAAAGATTTCACCAACTCAGTTCAATTTTTTTTATTCTTTAGCATAAAAATAAGAAACAAAACCCAAATTCAGAAGTTATTCACTAGCAACCTTTAAGTTTGACTCAGTTAATTGTTTTATTTTTTTTAAATCAGTATCTGCAAAAACAAAAATCAAACTGGTGCATTTTAAAATGAGGTAAATGCCTCAATATTATTTCTATTTCCATCAAGGAAACAAACTTCAGTGTGTTTGTGTGAAAGATGAGCTGACTTAGGATCAACACAGCTGTGTTTTACAAAGCCGGTGATCAAGGTGGTTCTGGTTCTGTCTGGGGGAACCAGCTCCCACCTAACCTTCCCACACAGTCAGTTTGAAGCTCACATTGTTCTTTAACTACAGTCGTCTAAGGTAGAGAACAGGAAAGGGTTAAGGCAAGGCAGCTTTATTTACACAGCACATTTCATACACGTTCAATGTGCTTTCCATGAGTAAGAACATTCAAATCAACATGACACAAAACACAATTTAAAAATGAAAAAGAAATAAAGGTAAAGTTAAAGGGTGAGCAACCCAACCCTAACCCCTGCATTAACCTAATCCTGAAACCAAAAATGGGAAGGTGAGGGGTTTTCGGTGGATGTAATTCTGTAAAAGACATTCTAAATGGTTGCTTATTTGTTCAGGCCAAATGTTTTCCTACCTCTAATTTACAGAACCAATTAGCAGTTGGCTCACGGATTTCCACGTCTGCTGCCCGAGGTGCAACTCTTCTTCAAGCAGAAATCCACAAAATGTGTTTGAAGTTTTCTGACCATCTGTTAACAGTAACTACCTTTTTTCCTGTTCGAGCACACCAGGATAGAAACTAAGGACGTGTTGCTCAGAGCTTGGCCTGGATCCTGATATCGTTGTTGTTGGTTTTTTTTATGTTTGTTTTTTGCACATTTAGGTGCTCTAGAGTTCATTGTGAGGAACTAACCCAAAACCAGCCAAACATGTATCAGAACCAACGCACAAAGTCACGTACAAACAAGAACACTGAACTTTTGATTTCATTAAAAAAATCTCTTGACTTTGACTAAAAAATTATTGAATATTGCAAATCAGTGACAGTTCAGACAAAACTAATCACCCCTTTCATTTTCTTTAATATCCTAATTTGGTGTGTGTGTGTGTGTGTGTGGGGGGGGGGGGGGGTAAATCCACCAAGCAGTTAGCAATCACTTCAAATCTTTGCCATTTCATCTGATGATGTCTTAGCAGAGGCTGTGTTGGGAGCAGCAAGTGGAGTTTTTATGTTGAGTTGGTAAAATCTCAAATCAGAAAAAAAGAAGAAGGGAATGGAAAACAGAAATTGCATTGTTGGAGATTTGGGGGCGGGGGGGGGGGGGGACAAAGAAAGGACACAGTTTTGAGGAGGGCCCTGAAATTACTCCTCACTGTCAGAAATTGTATGAATGCAAGGATAAAGTACTGAGAACGAGATATCCTCCCCCACTTAACTCTATGTTTTTAAGACTGGAGGTAGAAGTGTCCCAGCTATGCATTCCTGTTTAGAATAATCACAAGTCTGCCAAGTAGCACTAAACAAGTGTCTGTGAAGCACTGTGTGACTTGTGTCTGTGAAAAGTGCTTTATAAATAAACGTCAAAAAACACCTCAGACAGAAATGCAACAGACTTCAGACATCACACAACGTAAGTGTCCACCAGGTGTGGAGGTAGGGTTGGGACTCTCCACACATCAGTACATGCAGCCACAACGAGCAGCGCTCGTCACCTCCGTTTGGACAGGGGAGGGAGGTCATTGGGTTAGAGAGCACAGTGACTCCTGGAAACGGTTCCACGACCTTCACCGGTCTCTGTCCCGCCCAGGCTGGGATAGGGAGACAGAGTTGCCATGGCGACGGCAGCATTCCACATTTCTTCTGAGGGGGAGTTTTCCCTTCAGCCTCACAGGCTCAAGGGCACCAGATTCAGATAAGAACTTGTTTTGGGGACAGACAGAGATAATTTCCTCGCTGTCTTAAATTTCTGTTGATCTCCAACCCCTCTGAATCCAATAATGGCGCAAATTAATCTATTCCCAACCGTGCTGTCCCGTCAACTCGCTCCTCGATCGAATCAACCTTCTGTGCCAGAGACTGAATCTCAGCCAAAGTTTCAAGCTTACGACTCATCTCATCAAGAATGTGAGTGTGAAGGGTTGGCAAAATCACAAAGCCTTACCGGTGGTACATTTTTAGTGTTCTGTTTAAGACCTGACTGTGGGAAGGGATGAAATGAGACAAAAAACATCAGTTGTGTCTGTTTTAGGCATCCATAGACTCCTAAAACCTCATCCCTTCAAAATAAAAGGCCTAATGTCAGCTGACAGCATTTCTATGAGGCTCTCCTAGACATTAATCCATCGTGTAACCTTGAGCCATCACATGCAAATAATACAGATGATCAGCTGGCTTGTGGTGAGGCGATAGCCAGAGGAAGCTAGTCATTACACCCACAGTGTGGGAACGACGAGGCAGGTGAGGGAAGATTCACCCCTGTGTGGGGTTGCATGTACTTCATGGGCATGAGCAATAAAAGCTGGTGCTGACAGCTAAAAACTGTACCTCCATCATGTATCGATCCACGATATGCAGCTCTGTAACAGCTCCCTTGTGGGATTTGTACATTTCCACATCATCCATAGTAGGAACATACCTGAAAATAAATACAAACAATGTCAAAGCTTTCATTTTAGATGCTAATAGCTGATGAATCTCCATCGAATGTTTTAAATGAGACTTATTATGACTTTTTATAAAAGATAATTCTTAGATCATTCAAAACATTTTTATGAAGTTCAGTGCACAAAATCCCTCTCATTCAACATTTTTACTCTTGAAAGTTTTAGTACCTTCCAGAATTAGTCGTTTCAGGGCACGGTCACTTTAAGAAAACAAGCAGGAGCTGGCCTCATCCTTTGCTACGTCTGCTATTGATCCTTTACACATGACATCACTTTACTCAAGTGAAAGTCTCCTTCATCGTGATGGACATCAAAGGACTTGTTTACATCCAGTAAAACTCTAAGCTAGACCAAAACAGGCTAGTTTGTAGCCTATTGGGTAAGTTCATATATTTCATTAGAAAGACAAGGACTGGCTCACTTGAACAGATAAATATGATGTATTTATACTACTAACTTAGTATTGATAATCCTCAATTTCACTATGGTGGGTGTGTGTTTCCGTCCCCTATAGTGAATTACTAGATACTAACAATACATGTGTTGTAGGAGCCAAAAATGAGGATTTTTTTGGGTTTTTTTTTTGTTAATGTGTATTAATTTGTATATTGGGGGTGGGTGTGTCACTGGGCGTGTCCTTGAGCTACTTATCTTCACCTGTCGCCTGTTGAGTGGAGACTGATGGCAGGAAGGATGATGGCGGGGTGAGCTTGGGTGAAAGATTTTTGTTGACCGTTTAACCTGAATACTGCGTAATCGTGTGCTGATCCATTATCATGTTGCAAGTTCGATGTGGAACGAATAAAGAAGACGTCAACGCAGTTGAAAGTTGTAGCGCCTCATTAGAATTAACCCACGCTGAGCCTGCCGCGACACTGACGGAAAATGCTTGGAACCTGCCGCAAATGTGTGTGAAAATGATGTTATCTATTTAGCACAATGAGCGTCATCATCATGGATGTAATTTTTGGGGGGGGACAAGAAGGACATGTCCCCCCCACTTTTTCCAAATTCAGGTTTTGACCCCTGCACTTTTTACCATCCAAAAATAATATTACACTATATTAAATTGACACTGGTTGAGCTCTAGGACCAAGCAGAAAACAACCGTTTGTGTTTCCCATTAGAACATACTGTAAAGATACCCCCCCCCCCCCCCATGCCCCCCCCCCCCTCTACGGTGAAAATTACGCCCATGGTCATCACTATGATCTGTCCCATCGGTGTGAGAGTAGCTCTTGGTCCTGGTGGCCCAGCCAGCGACAAACACTGGTAGGCATCCAGACTTCTGCAGGTGATTAAATCATCAAAGTGTTTATCACAAAACATTATCAATGGTGCAGAGTGCATTCTGGCAAAGTGGATGACTTGATCAAATCAGTGAACACAGAAGCAAGGAGAGCACAGCAGCCAGTTTGTAATAGATGACACTTAATTTTTACAAACATTATTCTCTGTGAGTCCCTAGGTGCGCCGCTTCTTCTGGCGAGTGAACTGGACTTGAACTTGTAGAAGCCAGGCTAAGCAACAATCTCAGTTACTACTTTGGTCCTCTGTTCAATACCCCTGTAATTCACTGTTGACGTTCACCGCTGCATGCTTGCTTGGTATGAGGATTGCTGTAAAGTCACTGACACTAGTCAGTGACTTGATGCAATTTGCTGGGTTCCTTATATAGGAAACATTATTTCTGATTGGCTTAATGAACTGTGAATTGGAATGTTTATTATGTGAAGTGCCTTGAGACGACTCTTGTCGTGATTTGGCACTTTATAAATAAACTTGAATTGAATTGAATTGATCAGGTGTCACACGCCTCAGGAGCTGAGAAGCTCTGATATCAGGGAGGGGCTCGGAGTAGAGCCACTGCTCCTCCAAACTGGAGAAGTGAGAGGTGGTTCTATTCAAATTTCCCCATTAGTGATGTTGAAACGGCTGATTTTAGGTAGTTAGTTTTAAAAATGAAACACAGACAGAAAACAGATGATGGGTTTGATAGAGGAGGCATACATGTCAGCAGAAAGGTGAGTTCTGCACAACGTGTCCTCTTTAAAAGAACAGACTCTACTTTTTTCTCAAACATCCACCAACTTGTCTTTGACCATTTTTTACATTAAATTTGATACAAATAAAAAATAAAGATGTTTATTATTGCCTATCAATCAAATGTTTCAGTGATTTAAATGAAACATGTGTTATTAAGGTAAATAGTGAAGACTAACTAATAATAATAATAATAATAATAATAAACAGCAACGTGAATCACTAAGGAATATTTTAACAAACAACATAAATGATGATGTTTCACACATCCTTCTGCTCTTGGCTTCTGTGTCTCGGTATCACCGCGTCTCCTCACTCACTCTCTTGGACTGAAGCTGTTAGAGTGATTTACGGCAGCCTGGAGAAATTATTTTAAGCCAAGTGGGGTTGGTGGCCCTCATCAGCTCCTGTAGAAACAGCAAGACGCTGATGCGAGCAGCCAGCTCCTGCCTGCCATCGAATCTGAACCCAAGTCATTTCAAATCGTACTTCCTCCTCCTGTCATTCCTGACAGCTCTGACCTCAAACCAGAGGAATTTACGTCCTGATGAGTTGTCCTATGTGCCACCAGAGCAGCACCAGACATCAATTTTGCAGCACCTGCTTGCCTCCTCAGGCCCACGCCAGAGCACATTAAAATATATATTATGTTTTTATAGGATAAAACATAAATAAATCCTCCATACTACATTAGATCAGGAGGATAACAACCAAACCTGCAGGTGAGGATCCCAGAGCCAACCTGCTTTCACGTCGGCATTCCCAACGGCACGTCATTTCCATCTCAAGATAAAACCTGTTCTCAGGGAGACGCTCTGATTAAATGTCGCTTTTACCACGAGAACACGGTTAGGACTAAAGCGTGCACGCTTTTCACTGTGCATGCACGCCCATCTCACTGAGGACCTGCTAAGCTGCTGGTTCCACTCCGACAAACCTCTCCCTGGCTAGGACACTTGGGGTTCTCCAACATACTCAACATGACTTGCAGCGGCGGCCATGACATCGCAAGGGAGGAGTCTTACCTTCTCAGGGAGGTGATGTGCTCATCAGACAGACCTCCATCTTCCTCATTAATAATAAACAGTTTGTCCTTCAGCTCCTCTGGTTTCACAGGGAAACTTTTGAGGAAAATGTCTGGAAGAACAATAGATTAAAGCAGTCAGCACACTCAGTAGTACATAAAAGCTTTCTTCTCGTCAGGCAGTTCTCTTATTCTGCGATGAAAACGACTCAAAAAACATTCAGAAGACAAAGGGCCCATTGCTTAATTACTTTCCCCCAGTTGCCTGAGGGAAATGCACTCATTTGTGTTCTATAAAGCAGAAGCATTTGAGATTCATAGGCATAAATGATCTGCACAGATCAAGAGTGGTGGACTAGACATGGCACAGATAAAGCCAGAAGATCGAGTTATCTGGTTAGATCGCTTCCAATTCCAATTTTATTTATAAAGCGCATTCAACAAGGCATTACAACCAAACAAGGCGCTGTACACTAAAAATGTTGGTTAATTAAACCGGCGTTATACAAACATGTAGAACACAGATAAAAGATAAAAAGGAAATACAACAAAATTCCTAAAACTAACAGTTAAAAATCAATAAAACACAAGGAGAATAAAAATAAGAAAAATATTTTAAAAAAGAACCTCAATAATACGGAAGTTGATATTGTGAATTCCATTTTTAAACAGTGTAGTTGTAAGTGAGGTTCATAATTATGTGGTATAAGCTAGGTTGAAGTAGTGAGTTTTCATGCGTGATTTAAAAATGCTAGCTGTTGGTGCTAGCCTCACTAGCAGTGGTAATGCGTTCCACAGCTTGGGGGCACAGACAGAGAAAGCCCTTTCTCCACGGCTTTTTAAACGTGCATTCGGAACAGCTAGGAGGAGCTTATCTTCGGACCTGAGAGCGATACTACATCCGTTGGCAACGTTGGCATCCAGCGATATCAACATTTTAACATAAACAGAAAATGAAAACATGATAGGATGAAGGGATAATTGGGTTCTTTGGGGGGGAAAGACTTGTGTTTGCTTGATTGTGTAACGTCCAGCAATGGTCAGTTTTAGGTACAGTTTGACCTTTCAACATCTATTCAATATTTGGTCAAACAGGAGATACGGGACTGCATGTGCTCCCTTTAAATGAGCCTGCCTTCATACCAGCTGGAGCTCACAGACTCTGCAGCTCTGACAACAGATAACGACGTGTCAACAATAACTTTCTTCCCCAAGGCCTCCACATAAGGAACACTCCAGCTCGGATCAGTCGCTAAATTCAAGAATGATTTCCTAAATCAATATTAACTTCTTCCGTGACTCATAATATAGATAATCATTAAATAAACGTTTGTTTATTGCTACTTATAACAATTATATTATAATGAAATGCTTCATTAATCTGTGCTCAATGATTGAAGCTTGAAATGAATGTTATGTCTACAATGACTGCAATGTGGTTCCGCATGTTTACGTGGCGAGGTCATGACATCTGCACTCACACCATAACAAGTAAGGTTACGTTAAACTCGGACACATAAATAGTCTTTTACCCAGTCAGAACATCTGGCGTGTTTCTGAGTTGTCTTGATAACATCTCTCAAGCCTGTCAGCCTTTGATTGGTTGTGCAGATCATAACATCAAAACCTTAAAACTGGATCACTCTATGTGATTCAGCAGTTCTAGAGAAAATTTCAGACCGGCCAGCTGCAGCACACCTCTTTAACCATCAAAGATTTTGGCACGTCGTCAAAACCTTTGTGCACCTGCGAAGCTGATGAACAACAGTCCCTGCAGAACAAAGCTGATATTGTTCAACTCCCTGTTGAGGTTCAACCCTCAGGAGAAAATTGCTATGCAGCATTTTCTCCAAAAACTGTGTCATCTGCGCTCTGAAAAAGCAGATAGTAAATTCCAGCGCCAGCAGACTCCATTTCCCATGATTCTCTGCCCGGAAGCAACGTGATGACGTCACCAAAGCGACGTTGAACCCCGGACCCACGGTCCGCCCGCTGAGAATCTATAAGATCCAGCGTAGAATGAAACTTAATTCTCTTTTGTCCCAGTCTCAGCTGGTGTTGAAGAGACTTCTGCTACAGCTCCGGACGCAGGCACGAGGCCCGAGCCGCTGAAAAGCAACGGAAAACGTCATTTGACGATCGAGCAACGAGGGACGCTTCAAGTTCGTTCAGCCAACAGTTTTCCTTTTTTTTCTCTCTCGTTCACTTTTTCTTCCGTTTCTCTAAAAAGTTCAAAACAACCGATCAACCGCGCGATTTCTTTAAAGTAAAAACGTTTTTTCTCTTCCATACCAAATACGTCATCCAGACCATCTTGAAGTAAGATCTTTTCTTTCATTGTAATATCTAAGTTGTTTTGAGCTGTGGCCACAGCAAAAGCAGATCGTTAGATATTTCAGTTGTTGTATTATTGTTTTGTATTGCTTCCTGATTCTTTGTGAAGCGGTTTTGAAGTGTTTGGTTAAGCTTTACTGTGATTGAATGTGCTTTGGAAGTTTAAAGTGAAAGTTGCTCACGCACACACACACACACACACACACACACACACACACACACACACACACACACATTCTGGTTTTCAGTGTTTGGGAGGACACACACATCCAACATACATTTTGGGTCCTTGCTCCCTCAAACAAAGGGATCGGCCATTTTGTTTCAAAACTACCTCCATCTTGAGTTACATCACCTCAGATTGTCACGTCACATTATTATTTCATAATTACTTGTTATTTGTTTGATAAAATCAGTTGGTGGATATTAATTAGCTAATGCTTTGGGAGGAGCCAAAGTGATCAAATTAGTTAATAAATGATTGCCAATTAAGTTTTGTCTCAAGTGAATTTGTTTGTGTCTATAAAATACAACTGCTGCTTGTAAACAAATTTATGAACCTTAGACAGATTGATAAGAGGTTTTGGATTCATTCCCCCTATAAAAGGGGGTGGTGCCCCGAGGAGATCCATGGATGTCCTAATTACCTAATAAATCGGTAAATATTTCCATATTTACGAATTTATTGATGAATCAAAAAAGTAAGTAAAGCTCACAAATTATTTGTTGACTAATAATCACAACATCCCTAAGTTTTCTTAGACGCAAGCTAGTCCAACCTGTGTGCCTGGTGACATCTCGGGACAGGGGAAGTCGGTACTTGTGGTCAATCTACTGAACCTGGGTGCCCCGAGGTCAGCCGACCTCTCTGACCTCCGGATCCGCGACGAGGGTTTCCAAAAGGGTGAGGTAGAAGACAGTGAAGATTGCGTCTGATTTGCTTCTGATGATAACAAATTCATAGCTTAGTGCAAACCAAATTCTTTTACATTCAGACTCAGCTCTTCTAGATAAGGAGGTTCTGACTAACACCATATTGACACATCACATTTAGTTCCATCCACTCACAGTAAATGCTTAGATAACTAGTCATCTTTTAATTGTTTATAAAATAAATTCTTACTATTATAAACCTGACTCTTTTCTGAATCAAAATGAAGTGTGTAAAATTACTTAATAAAGCAAAAATCCTAGAATCTTCTGATAAATACAATAAAGACCAAGCAGGGTTGATATTTTATATTTAAATAGAGTATCACAGCTTATTGGTCATGAGTAGAGGTAATGTATATCTTGAGGTCTTAAAGCACTCAATTTGCCAAAGCTACATTTATTGACGAGCAAGCCAGTCTTTATTAGAATTGTTCACTTCATGTTGGTTTTGAATTATTAATTAATTATTCACAAAACAATTGTTTCCTGTGTCTGAGTGGAAAACTAGGGTGATCTCGTTATTCGCCACCTGGGGACGCTGTCCCTAACTTTTACAAACGGGGAGACTCCTGTCCCCCTCTATGGGCACTCAGAACAGTCACCCAAAGTCTATGTGTCTATGAACAGCTGAACTGCAGGATATTAACTGTTTGTTGATTTGAAGGTAAATGCATTTATGTGTGTGAGTTTGTCACGTGTTTGAGTGATTCTGATGCATTGTTTGTGTGGTTTTGTCACTGTTGATTAGCTTGTGTTAACGTGTGACAGGAGACGCCAATCTCCACTTAGCACAGAAGCTAACCGCTAATTTGGTCTGATCAACTGATAATATTAGCATTCTAACGCCGCAAGACGGTCGTTTATCCGACGAGAATTCCGGACACCAATTTGGTTCTTAAATCTGAAGTAACCCGGGGATGCCTGAAGCTGGTTAACTAGCCAGAAATTAGCGCTTTATTGCCCGTTAGCTTGGTTAGCTCAAGAAAGCTAATCTTAAACCCCATACCGGAGGAGCATAGCAGGATATATAGATGTTTTCCGCAAATTGCACGCTATACCAACAACACTACAGCGAGAACATACGTATACCATCAAGTCGAAGGGCTGATTCCCGTGTGAATCACGCCGAAAGAGACACGCTTCACAAAAAGACGGTCTAAGCATGTTAGCTTAGCAAGCTAAATTAGCAAGGCTGACAACGCCTGCGGACACAATATTGGACGGCGCTGTCAACCGTTCGACTCAGCATTTGCCTTTGTCATAACTCTCTATACTCTGCAAAACAAGCTCCTCGCATGTTTTTTTGTAGTTTGGGTGTATTTTTGACTTTATTGTGAGAAAAGTGGTCTTCATCAGGCCCGTCCTCCATTTTGGACGACGTCTCTGTGCGTGATGGAGTGACGTGACGCACATTACCCCTCCGCACTGTTGCCTAGAACTCTAACGCCATCCTGTGGCACCTCTCGTGCATTACACTTTGCTGGATGTTACAATTGTAAATGTCTTGAAATCAGCCTTTACTGAAACAGTTCTCACCATTCTTCCCTTCTGTTGATAAACAGCTTTCTGTATCCTTCCCCTAAAGCAGGGGTCTTCAACTAAATGTATTCAGGGGCCAGAGATTTTTATCCAGCAGACACTGTGGGGGCCAGATTGACTTCTAAAATACATTTCAAGTATAACTGGATCTAAATTTATTAACATTTAAAATGGCTTTGTTGCTTGAATGTGTTGACTCTTCAGAGAATATTCAAAGAGGAGGGAAACCTACAATTGCCCCCCTTAAATACTCTTTCTCATAACTGGATTCACCCATGTATGGAGGTCAAGGGTCACTGAGCATACCAAACCAATTTTGAGTTCCAATTATTACTTCAAAAGGTTTTGGAATCAATAAAATGACAACAGCGCTCAAATGTCTACACCTGCCTAATTTTGTTTAAACAATTATTGCAGATTTTGGGTATATCCTCTGAACTTTGTTTTAAATCTCAAATATCACTGTGTGTGTCTCCTATAAGATACATTTAACTGAAAATTTTGATAGCAACAACGAGCGATTTTTACAGGAAAATGCTGAAGATTAACAAGGCTGCCCAAACATTCACACTTACGTGTTTGCTGTAATCAGCACACCTCTAAGTCATTGTTATTATCTCAGGGTCCAACACAGAGGCATTCATGTCAAAATTTCACGAGGAATCTCAACATGTACAATCATCCTCCCTAGACTAAAGGATCCCTCACAGATGCATGTCTAAGAGCAATTTAAGCCCTTTGTTGACTGGCAGTCAGACAAACTGGGCATTGCCCTAAATGAGAGTGTGGAGGTGGAGAGCGTATCCCACTGGGTGCAGGAAGCCACAGGTGTACTTTTAATTAGGACCACGACATTTTCAGGCATTAAACAGGCAGCTTGCTGAGGAGCTCTCAGGGTAAATAAGCAAATTCATTCTTAGAGAAATGCTCTCCTCAGCCCACTAACACAATACCAGATCAAATTTAAGTCTGGAGCTCTATTCTTATTTTTACATTTTTAGTATGATTATTTCCATGTCAGGTTTCATGCTGCTTCTCCTCATTTGAAAGTGAAATAAAATGCTTAATATTTCTCCTCTATGTATGTAATCTGACACATTCTTGTTACAGTTTTTTACAGACGTTAGGACCCATTTCTCAATACTAATGTCACTTTTGCTAGACACTTCACACAGTTCTCCTAACTGAGTTTCAGCTTGGCAAAACAGTCCTTCTAGACGCAAATGATTTCATCTATCTGTTGTGACTCGGAAACATCTCTGGATTGGAGAGTCGGTGCTGTGGTTAATCTACCGAACCTCGGTGCCCAGCGGTCATCCGACCTCCCTGACCTCCTGATCCACGAAGAGGGTCTCCAAAGAAAGGGTGAGGTAGACACACAGATTGCATCTGATGCCGATTTTGATAAGAACCAACTTTATAGTTTAACGCAAACCAAATTCTTTTCACCCAGAACTCTGTTCTTCTAGGTTTAAGGTTCTGATAACCTCACATTCACACATAGTCACCATACATCACATCCCATCCTCTTAGAGTCATCCATCACAGTAGCCTTGGTTGACTTGTCTTGTTTTAATTTGTTTAGAAAATAAACCTGACTTTGTCTGAACTGAGACAAAGTGTGTTTGATCCCTGAAAAAGCAAAGAATCCTAGAGTCTTCTGATTAAACATCCAAAGACCAAGCCGGTTGATACTCCATACTTATATAGTATATCCCATCCTACTGGTCATAAATAAAGGTAATACATTAAGCTTAAAAGCAACATTTACCCCTTACGTGTGTGTGTGTGTGTGTGTGTGTGTGTGTGTGTGTGTGTGTGTGTGTGTGTGTGTGTGTGTGTGTGTGTGTGTGTGTGTGTGTGTGTGTGTGTGTGTGTGTGTGTGTGTGTGTGTGTGTGTAAGCAGATGTCCAACGCTATTGGCTAGTGCTGAGCAGCGCTCAATTCAAATTGCACAGGGCCCTATGGGACGGGGGTGGGCTTATAAAAGAAAACAGATGTTTTTCCTCCATTGTATCACAGAGAATTGTAGACTTATCATTTTTACAGTTTTTTTAAACATCAGGGGAGGGATTTCACTTAATTTAACCCTCTCAGGCTAAAAATAAGTTTTGATAAAAGGACCAACAACTAAGTCCTTCAGGGGTACTTCTGAGTTAAAAAGTGCTCATGAAACGCGTGTGTGGAGTAACCAGGTACGTAGGTTTTAACTGGTGCAAATCTGCAGCGCCTACCTCCAGAGGGTTCATTAGTTTTCACCAAGGCTTGCTGTTAAAGATCTGGGGCCTCATTTATCAAGCTAGGGTCGGAAAACTGCGTAAGCAACTTTCCACGCAAACGTTGGGATTTATGAAAGAAAAATGTGCACAACTTTAAGTTGACTAAGGACCTGGCTTACGCACATGTTGGACGTGGAGAGCACTTGCAGTGCTGCTGCTGAGAAGGATACAATTATGAAATCCTGCAGCATTATCACTTGTACTGCTTCGTTTTCACACAGAACAAGACCCCCCATGTGCACACACATGCACGCTCACACACACGCGTGTACACACACACAGCCTGAAGCGCAGAATATCAGCAGGGGGACAGATATAGACAGAATGTCATGCGTCTGTGACAGTGTGTGTCCTGTCACTGTGACCCGATTGATCGTGCGCCCTGGCTACATGGACAAGGGAGATCTCTGTTTGGATGACTGGTTAGCGTGCGTAGCTTTCACCCGGGAGTCTGGGGATTGAATCCTGATTGGATCATTTTTTTATATCCACCACAGATCTCTCTGAAGAACTCACAACATTGACGGCTTCAGCAACGCTGTGCCACTCCGTGGATTTTCTCTTATTTGTTTTGCAAAAGTACTTCCTTTCATTTCTCCACCTCACCCACAAGTACCTCAACTTCTGCTTCTGTGAAATTGTGCTTCCTTGATCTGCCTTGATCTGCGGTCACCATGTCATTGGCGGAGCGCTGCAACAGCCGGCTTATGTATATTCATGAGATCCACAAGGCACTTTGCGTTGACTATTTATGGCAGTAAATGGGCGTGGTGAGGGCAGGATGTGACTAAAAAGCAGCTGAGAACCTTTCTAGACAGTCTCTGATTTATGAAGCGGAGATTGCGTGCAGCTGTGCGTACTCCATGTTTGATAGATCACACACCTACTTGGCATAAGTACTTTTTTTTTGCTGAGCTTAAGTACGGTTTTAGTAAGGATTCTACGCCATGTTTGATAAATGAGACCCCTGCTGGTTATTTAATCCTATAAACAAGTACATGGATCAGTACTTCATTGTCTGATGGATAATTGAATTGATGCTACTAATCTTGTTCCCTTGTCAGGCCCGTACTGAATACCAGGTTAAACCGCTCAAAGCTGATGAACACCTGTTCAACCCATCCACAACACCACGTTCCAGCAGCACCGTGATTACTGATGGGGAACACTAATTATCACCTACTTTTGTTCCTCCATCATTGTTAATGCTGCTGTAAGCTTATCTAATTAAGGTGAAGTCTCTCTGTTTGTTACGTGTGCGTGTGTGCGTGTGTGTGTGTGTGTGTGTGTGTGTGTGTGTGTGTGTGTGTGTGTGTGTGTGTGTGTGTGTGTGTGTGTGTGTGTGTGTGTGTGTGTGTGTGTGTGTGTGTTGTGAGAATCGCCAGGAGACACACGGAGGCAGAGAGAAAAGATTAACAAATTATTATTTTCATATCTGGCTTCAGGGAGAACTGAATTCTGGGAAATATTCTGTGTGTTTAGACTGCAAAGAGGCAGAGATTGCCTCGAACAAAGTGCAACACTGGAAGTTAATTATCTAGTTTTAGTTAAATTAAATTCTAAATGAAAAGTAGACTCATACACCTAATCATTTGTTGTTTTTGTTACATGTAACAGTCTGGATGTGTATGTTTTTAGTTTATCTTTGTGTGGCATTCTGATTTTTAATGTCCCTAATTGAGATGCGTTTCTGTTATTTGGAACAAAGGAAAAGGGAAATCAACACAGGCAGACTCCTCTTTTTTATCAAGTGTCAGAATGTTCAGAAGCTTGAAGCAGGAAGATGCATGGCCTCGACGTGCCTGCAGGCTGTCACTACTCAGCTTCTGGCACAAGCAAAGGTGAACAAGTCACAGAGTGCTATCAACAAACGTCGGTGTACTCTGTAGGGGACCAGGAGAGGTGCCATTGTCACTTTGATCCCCCATCCATATTTTATGAACATGCAAACTCGAATTATGTTGCCAGTCTGCACAAATTTTCTCCGACGCTATTTAGCAGCCAATACCGCAGCCCTGTCTGTATTTCTGCACAGGGATTGGGCTGCAGAAGGAGCTCTGAGGGCGAGCTCCGGAAGCATCACTCCACAGGCGGAGCCTCAAAGTACACAGGCCTCAGTTAATCACAAGTGAAAGCCTTTAGATGAGAAACAGTTACACTCCATTGTGGCTCTTCAGGGGAAGTCAAGGCCATGCAAACAAGAACCATACTGCCCCCTGGTGGCTGTGATGCAGAAAAGCATCACTACTCTTCAGAGAGCGTCTTCTAAACTAGCACCCTCCCTGCACCCGTCCCCCCTCTCTACCGTCCACTCTTTGCTCCCTCCTCTCCATGACTGATGTAAAGTTGTTGTTATTGTTGTTGTTAGCCTCAAGGGCAACATGCCGATTATCACTTGTAAGTCGCTTTGGACAAAAGCGTCTGCTAAATTCATAAACATACTCTGTTTTAGATGAAGGAAAAATGAGAGGATTCCTGTTTGTATTTGTGTTCACCACGGAAACCGGTTCCGTTACCGGATTCAATCCAGAAGATTCTCACTTAGAAATGTGAAATCCTGCCCTCCAAGAGGATGTGACTTCTGTCTGTGAGCAACTCAAAGCTCAAAGATGTAATCATAGTACTTACTGAAGTTGTGTGCGATCTTTGGGTTGAGCAATATGTGCTGAGAACTGCTCTGCTCCACCACACCAAGTGCCCCGATATCTTTAACAGCAAACTGTTCCAACAAACGGATCGTGTTGATTTCAATCCTGCTGGGTTTTTCTGGAATCCAAAAGGATTTTGTAATCTGGCGAGACGAAACAAGGTAGAAAAGATACGGTTAGAATGTATTAATGATTTTAATCTGAAACAACAATAAAACTAACTTAACCTTTAAAATGAAATAAGATGAACATATAAGACTTCAGGATTCCAGAGATGTAAAAATCACTTTGCCGTAAAGAAACTCATTTAACTAAAAGATAAAATAGGAAAAAAAATTTCACTTCATAAAAAAAAATTACCGTAAATCCTCTAATACAGGCCTGTATTCAATTAACGGCCGGGCATCATATTTTGGCCGGTGTCGGAGTCGGCGGAGGTGAATAATGGCCGTTTTTTTATTGTGGCTGGGTGGAATGTGGTAACAAGCAAGTACGGGGGGCGGTTGTGTCATCCATCTCACTTTTGATTTGCCAGTGATAGACCGCGAGGGTAACTTTAATCATGCGGAGACGAAGAGGAGGTGAAAATTTGATATCAAGTTCAAAAAGAACGTGCTGATTATGCTGCAGAACACTCTGGGGAGCAGTAGCAGGGGTTGTATGAACTAGTCACTAGTCGACTTCACTATAGTGACTTTTTATTCCTGTCATCGACTAGTCGCTGTCACGTGATAATGACCGGCAAGATGCAGTCCACGGAAAAGACAGCAGCCTGCTGTTAGCAGGTGACAAGCTCCTGCGCGTCGGGGGGGCTACGCGCTGTGCCAGAGCGTCGGTACTGACACGCAAGCGTTCATGTCGGTTCATTTCCTTTAATGTTTTCTGTCTTTTATTTGCGCCTGATGAGTTTCGCTGCTGTGGAGCGGGGCGCATCACCTGTTTTGTCCTCGGTGACGCACCTAACTGATGCGGCCGGCGAGCACTCCGCTGTTTTAGCGATCGGTAGATCTTTTAGAACTGCAGTTCAAAGGTAACTCATGAGGTGAATATATGTGAACCCATGTAGCAGTTTCTCTTTAGGATTGAGAGGAGATGCAGGAAGATAATAAACAGGCAGGACAGAAAAATAGTCAAATAAAAACAAGTTAGTTTTTGTACCTGGTGGTTGCAACAAACACACCATTGAAGGTAATCAGAAGTGAGGAACAGAAAATGAAATAATTATTTTAATGTTTAGAGCAGCAGGAACTCCGAGAGGCTGCAGGCGCATCAGTGAGTTTGCGGCCGCTGCGCAGGGGGAGGGGGGAGAGGGCTGAAGCAGAAACTACCGTTGTTAAAAGAAATGTGTTTAACTTTGAAAATGTGGGCGCGATTTTAATTGTCAAAAACTCCAGCGAACCATTAGTTCATTTTGCTCAAATAGAAATAGAGGCCTGCCTCTAATTCTGGTCCTCCTTCCAATAAAGGCCTGGAGCTTGATGAGCTTGAGTCAAATACAGGCCCGGGCCTGTATTCGAGTATTTACGGTATAATTAATCTACGATGATTTTGGCCCACAAGAAAAAACAATTAGACACCACTGTTGTGAGATACAATTAGCCTCTTTTGGTGGGTATTAACCATTACCTTCTCGGAGCTGATGAGGTCCCAATGGAAAGCTTTTGTGCGTAATTTTTTTAAACTGTTTCTCAGTTTCATGGGTATGGGTGGAGGAGCTGGGATGTTTGGGGGTGGAGGCACGTTCATGGCTGAAAAACCCGATTCTTGAGGCTCTGGGATCAAAGAAGAGCCTGCTAGTGGTAAGGGTGGAGGGAAGGAGGGTGACGGTGAGCTTTTAGAGGGAGAAGTTGGGGATTGGATAGGTGGTGTGGGTGAGTCATCAGATCCAGCATGGGGAGCAGTGTTGGAACAACGTTTCGGGAAGGGCTTAGTCTCAGATGAGGGATTGTTTTGACTTGCATCATCTGCTGATGAACCATCTTCTCTATTTGAAGCAAGAGCATAAAAGATGCTTCCCCCAAATTCACCACTAGAGTCAAGCCCTGTGTTGTTCTCATTGGAGTCTTCGGTCGTGCTGGCAGATTTTACGGGCATGGTTTCTGCAAGCCCGTATTCACACCGGGACTTTCTCTTCCACTCTGAACACAGATTGTCAAGTGCCTGGACCCAGGCATCCCGCTCCTTCTGCACAGAGCCAGGACCTTCATCTGGTGCAGGAACCTTGAACCTGTAACGTGTAAATAAAACTTCACCCAGCATCCCTGTTTAAAACATTTTCACTCAAATAAAAAAAAACTAAGATAAAGACTGTTTCACAGAGAGGTCAGACATTGCATTAAAGCAGATTAACTGAAGGTATTATTAACATGTTGCTTCTTTGATATTAATATTCCCTCCGTACTGGTACTTATTCTTGTGGGTGACCAGGGTAAACATGTCAGGTTCATTTGGTTTCTGCACACTGGTGCCACCATCCGACAGATGAATCACGGTGGAAAATGGATCCGAGGATATAACGTCACCATCTGAGGATCGTCGCTGCCTGAATGGAACCATGGTCAGCTGGCCGGGGTGCAACTGGACCTGGTATCTGGGGCGGACAGGAAAGGTGTTGTGCAGACGGGAAAAACAATGTCTGAAAAGTTTGTTTCACAGCAGACATCCTGACCTGCAGGCATGAAATTAGCAAGGGCTGCATTCCACTTCTACAGCTGTTCTAAATGAACGCAGCCCTCATTAAAACGCCTTTGCTTTTCCTACTCATGCAAGTAAAAATGATCTCATCTTTACAGACTTCTTGCAATCTGCATCGATGCTGTCTTTGCACAGAGTTTTGCAATACAATGGGCACTGTTGAATCAGAAACTTTACATTTTCACATTATGGGAGTGCAATAAAATTGGAATGCACTCGAATGGTGAATCTGGCATTCAGATAAAGGAAACACAAGACATAAACAGATAAATAATAACAGTAATAAAAGAAAAAACGGTATAAATCTGGGTGGTGGTGGCTACTCAACGCCTGGGAGTAGCCAAGGCTGAAGGCAAGGAGAAAACAGTTTCTCACAGGGATCATCAGTAGACCTTTCATGAGAATAAGGCTGAAAGGTATTAAGCAAAACTTCAGCCTTAGTGTCGTTCTCCTTGGGCTGCTGGGCTTCCTCCAATACATTTGCCGAAGTTTCATAGCCTAGTGAACTAGACCAAATTCTTGCTTTGCAAAGTTTGGTCTGGGCATGCTCCATTGGAACCTCCGCAGCTCCTACCAGGACTCTGGCTAGCCAATCACAGCTCTCTAGAGGGGTTTCAAACACATAACGAGCTGTGATTGGTCCATAATGGTGGGCCAATCATAGTGCTCTATCTGCTTAGTGAACAAATCACAGAGCTTTATCCGCTTTGTGGGCCAATCAGGGCACTCTACACGCCTGGTGGGTGGGATGATGCAACAGAGTGAAACAAGAGTATGTCACATTCATTGTCCAGTGGAATGTGGAGATCATTTGAAAGACAACGGTAGAACCCGCCCCACAACCGAGAGCCGTCCATGGAGCGTGGCCAGACTAAATAATACATTTATTTAGTCTGGCATGCCAGGCTAGAAGTTTCATATTACATGCCAGATCTTTTCATTCTCACTCATCCTTCCTCACTCGGGATTTTCCTCCTTCATTCTTTGGAAACCCAAGAATTATCTCTTCATTGCCGAGCTGGACAGCTCTGAGTCTAATTAAAGTCACCTAGATTTGGTATTTATTTTAAATGCAGTAATGTTACGCTGCTAAAAAGAAATTTAAAAGAACTTCGGTTTTTTTTTTTTCATTTGGAGCAGTGCAATTGAATATGTGCTTGCATTATAACGGATTGTAGATTTTATATTATGGTCAAGCTGCAGTTAATGAGGATCCTTCCGTACTTCACCCATTTTAATGATGCCAGGCCTCCTCGGTGCAGTAACAAGATGCCTTCACAAAGGCTCTGGGGGGCTTGAGGCTTCACATCTCTCGCTGCACTGTTGTCTGCAGGTTCGCTGTATATGTTGCCATAAATGATCTGATTCACCAACTCCATCATCTGCTCAAAAACAAGACCCATGCATAAATTATTTCCTGATAAAATCATCCATACGGTGTCTCCTAAGGAAAACAACACTGTCATTATGGAGAAAAACAATGTTTACGTTGTATTTGTTTATTTTTATTAGTCAAACGTGATCCCATAACTCACCTTATGTTTGTCTTCCATCGAGGTGGCCTCCAACTCATAATCGTGATGTCCTTTAAAGGAAATGGAGAACCTGGAGCCGACTCCATCATCACAACTCTTGACAACAGAGAATGGAAGTTGGCGCTTGATGATGCCTCTCTCTATGCTGCACAGCATCTTGGTCTTGAAATCAATCTAGATGTTGAGGGCAGGTGGGTTTGAGTTTAGTCAGAGATGTTCAGATATAAAAGACTTTCTAAAGCGTTACACCAGGCACAATGGAAAGAAATACCAACTCGTTTCAAAGCCCAGAGAAAGACGTAGCTCATTAGGAGCAGGAGGAGTGTGGTATAAACTGTAGAGCCAAGACATTTTTAGTGTGATTTTTTATTTTTTATTACAGTGATCCCTCGTTTATCGCGGTAGATGCGTTCCAGACCTGGCCGCGATAGGTGAAAATCCGCGAAGTAGGGACACCATATTTACAGTATTTATTTAACACTTTAAAGTGATAATAAAAAATACAATCAAAATCCGTATACAGTGATCCTGCGCTACTTCGCGGTTCGTTTATCGCGGATTCACAACTTCGCGGATTTTTTCTTTGGAGCCTTATTGGGGGAAATTCGCCGATTCGCAGTATTTTTCACCAATTCGCGGTATTTTTCTATGCGAAATATCAATCGTATTCAGTATTCAGACTTTTAAAACCCTCCCTTTACATAGTACTGTATTTTTACTTGTTTTTTTTTTATAGTTTTATTACAAAAAGTGCATTTTATGATGAAATTGATGGAAAAAAACAGGAATTTCTTGATATTTTGCATAGAAAAAAAATAAAAAAATAGATAAATTCTTAACTTTTAAAAACCTGACTTCTTTGAAATGAAACACAGAATGGTGTGTATATTTTGGTTATTGAATAAGCTAAGATTCATTTAACTTCTGATTCAATAAATAAACTTTTGCTATTAAATGTAATTATCTTAAATTAAACATTAATCTTTGGATTAAAATATAGACCAAGACAGTTAGTGTATGAACTTCTACTGATTGCATTAATATCCTAGATATTTGTGCATAATATAAGTTCATATGCTAATGTCCGATCTTTTCTCAGGATCTAACCAAACTGAAGCAAACAGTGTTAAATCCTAGTATGTAGATCAACCACGCTACATTTGGAAGTGTGCTAGAGGCTGGCTATCAGCAGCTTCTGTCTGGACCATGCATCCCTGGCTGTTTCCATTCAGTGCAAGTCATCAGAGTAAAGTCATGACAAAATATGCACAGATTTGTACTGTGCAATGTGGGTTCATGTAGTTATGCAAGCTAAACCAACATGTGTTTTGCTTATGAAAATTCTCAATGAATTAATAAATAAATATGCATTTTGTATTTTTTTACTAGGTAAATGTTTTTGAATTGGTGAAGGTGCGAGCACTTCTGCCCTGCAGGGAAGTTGGCTCAATTTTCAGTCGGATGTGGGAGAATAACTCACCTGAAGAACTCGCTTCTGCCACCTGTAGCGGCTGTGCTTATGAACACTGAAGTTATACTGTGGGGGCGGCTGCTCCTGAAACAGTAATCAGAGAAAAAAAAGATATTCTTTGATAAAGGTATTCAACACATTGTGAGAGCTTAAACTTCCTCTACAAAACTGTTTGATGAAAGATAATTATAACCCTCCCCATCACTTAGCTCTTAGTACATGAAAAAGGGAAACCCACATTTAGAACTGAGCCAGCCGGCTGGGCAGCATATTAGTACGGCGTTATTGAAGGAGCAGAGGCGGAAATGTGTGGAACATAAAACCCGTTTCCTTGTTGCAGCCTGGACTTTTCAAGTAGGGCAGAAAGATGTGATTCTAATGTTTAAAAAGCAAAGATGAAGCATAGAGAAAACGATCAGAGGTGTGACCAAGTCACTGCTTTGTAGGTCACAAGTCTTTCCAGTCAAGTCTTGAGTCAAGCCCAAGTCAAAGACAACCAAGTCCAAGTCAAGTCCAAAGTCAATGATATGGAAGTCCAAGTCAAGTCCAAGTCCTTAACTTTGAATTTTCAAGTCATAACCAAGTCATCTGTCCAACTTCTATTTAATGGCAATGATAATAAATAAATTCCAGAATAAAAGCTTCATTTATTTGCTGAAACAAGCAGAAAGAGCAACTGAACCTGATGACAAACAAAGAGCTGCTGCATTCAGCAGAACAAGATCAAACCCAGAACGATGGATGAATTATGATTTTTGTCCATGTCGTGTCACTTTTGTGTTAAAATATCAAATATGCTCAAGTCATCAACAAGTCAACAGATGCAAGTCGAATCAAGTCGCCAGTCATTGGCGTTCAAGTCCGAGTCAAGTCTTAAGTCTTTATAGATTTTATCAAGTCAAATCAGAAGTCATTAAAATAATGACTCGAGTCTGACTCAAGTCCAAGTCATGTGACTCGAGTCCACACCTCTGGAAAATATATGGATGAAAAGTCATAAGAAATCAACTTTCTCAAATGCTAACACAAGTTCAAAGAAAAGGTTGTGTTTTATTCATATCACCTCCATGTGTCTGTAGAAAAAGTGACTATTATGTTAAACAAGTTAAACAAGCAGCCATCCTGCGTGGGGAACTTCAGAGTAACTGCTTTTTTATTCACATACAGCTGTTATAGAGGGACGTCATTGAGTTCACTTTGTTTATTTATCTCTTCCTTTTGCTTCATGTTTGCTCTCATCACAATCATTATCATGTTCCTCTTCCTTAGCCCTGACCAATACATCAAAATAAAACAGAAGAACCTCAAAGAGGCTGACAGAAGTACCCATAACAGCAAATAGGGGCAAAAGGTGTCATTAAAACAACATGTTATAGGATAAAAGACAGCATGTTTTCAAAAGCCACAGCTTGGAACGTCACCACACCAGATAAATAAAATGGAGTCTTCATCCATCTCTTAAAGTGACAATGTGTAGTTTTTACCATTAATCTCTGGAAACATCCAGCAAAATGTTGTTGTAAATTCATAAAAAAGATACCGTTTCATAACATATAACCATAAAAATCTGTTCTAAAATACATGGGAGCGGCTCTAAGTCCCTGGGTGACGCCATATTAGATGCCATGTTTCCTTCTACGGAAGCCCATGAGGACAGAATGTATTAACTGATTTGTAACAAATGGTTACAAAACTTTCATCGATAAACATTGTTGTTTTACACATTTACCTTGAGCTGTGATAAGACAAATCCCCCACAAAGCAATGAAGACAGATGCTGTGAAAACCCGACCTTTCATGTTTGAGGTGCTTTTTGCATAGCAAAGCTACCCCCTGTCGGGAGCAATTCTGTATTGCCCTTTTTTCCCTTCCCCCCATTTATCCTCATGTCACCCTTTTCTATCTAACTGAAATGAGCGCCTTGAATGGCAATCCTCATGGTCTGCCTGTCCACAAAACTAAACAATCAATGATGAACAAAAGTCTGCTTCTAGACCTGCAGAAATAGAAAAACAAACAAAAAAGGGGACACACAACAATACAACAAGAGCAGACTATCACTGGGTCAACTTGATGAGGAAATATGACATCAACATTGTTTTACTGAACAATCACATGATAATAAATCATAGTGCATTTAGTGCCAACCACAGCCTTAAGACATGTGTTGAATGTGCCCAAGTCCATACTTATGAGAGCACCATGTGAGCACCTGTGTGTGTACACGCGCTTGTGTATGTAAGGTTTCTCTATAGAAGCGTCCAATAGAGAGTGTGAGGGGCTACAGATCTGCCCCCCAAAGATGCGTAGGAGATGGAGGGAGTTCCAAGCCCCAGAGATCCAGGAGCTGACCCAGAGCACAGGCACCCCAGGGAGACTGCAACCAGAAAAGCCTCAGTCCCCCTCGAGAGGCGCAGTGGATTGCCCCGGGGGGCCACAACCAGCAGCCAGTAGAGCCCCGAGAGATAACAGTGGCAAGCCCCAAGGGTCGCCTGCAGCCTCCTACCTCCAAGCCGGCCGAGCCCGGAACCCAGTGACCCGGGACCCAGCGGCGACCAGCCCCGCTGGGGACCCAACAGAGCCCAGGGACTCAGATCCCATCAGGCAGCCACCGGGATTGATCAGGCAGACTCCAAAAATCTTAAACCCCCTGACCCGGGAGCCGCGAACACTCAGGCGGACCAAGGCACCACACCCCACACCAAATGTGGCTGGGGGAGGGGAGGCGAAGATGTGTAGCAGCACAAGAAGTCCCAGGAGAGGGGTGGAGTCCAAGATCCCACCTGACATATATAGCCATTCACAGACACAGTCACACACTCCCTCCCTATTGCTCACACATACACATACAACCCAGTATTTACAAAAATGAACACCAGACACCCAGTCACGCTCCCCATACACACCCTATTTACTCTGGTCCTTGATGCTTGTCTGACTTCCAGAAGAATGTCATTCCACAATTTGGGGGTCAAGACCGAGAAAACCTTCTAGTCCTACGTTTTACTAGTAGAATATTTAGTAAACCTTCTGCGATGACCCAAGTGCATGTGAAGGGATGTATCGGGTGAGTAGGTTAGATAAATAGGTTAAGGTGCTACCTTGCAGGGACTTAAATACAAAACAAGCAGCTTCATACTCACCCAAAAAAGAACTATAGCTGCCTGGCTAACTCCCTAGCAAAGGGCGATAAAGTAATCCAAGTGCAAAGTAACAAAGGCATAGGCTTAAGTCAGCCTGCAGTACCTCGCCTAAGCAGGAAAATAGGCATTGCTGTCAATTGTGAGGATACATATGAAATTTGACCTTGTGCTTCAAAAAATGACCCAAGTCATAGCAAGTATATAAATAAAATGGGCCTAGGAAAGGCTCCTGTGGTATCCCCAGGTGAAATCACTGCAAGATGTTAACAAATCACCTAATCTTATAAACTTCTATCCAACAAAGTCTCTTTAGAACAAATTATGAACATAAATAAAACATTCTATTAGTGAAAAAGAATAATAACAGTTGAAACCTGAGTATTTTGATTGTAAACACAATGGACACCTACTTTGCAGAGCTGCTCCCGCTCTTTTCTGGCCTCATCCAAAGCAGCCTCGATGGACATTTCTCCATTCTTGACCTTTTTCATGATGCTCAGCTGCATTTCATTGCTCAGCTGACGGCACAAGAAAATAGCACACATGCAGTGTATTAATATTACACGGTATAGCACATGCGAGTGTTTAGCCTTGATATGTTAGATAAATGCATGTCTATAAAACCTAAAAGGTAAAGAATTTTGTTTTTTGAGGATTTTGTGTTACTGTAATAATGCTAGTCTAGGAATCTAGACAGACCGTAGCACAAACCAAATGATTTTGCTCTGCAGGTCGGTCAAGCCACACTCCACAGGAACCTCAGCAGCCCAAACCAGCATCCTGCTGTGGCAATAACAGCGTTCCATTTGTTTAGTGGGCCAATCACAGTGCTTTATCGGTTTGGTGGGTGGGATGTTACTGAGACTGAGCAAAACTAGGATGGGGATGGTGAATTTGAAATGGCTTTATCATCAACATTGGACTATTTACTCTTGGGGTTTTCTCTGAGTCAAGAGCAGATAGAGGTACTAAGTCCTTTATTTACAAAAAGGGTTCATTTGCATCTTCTTCAACGGTGCATGGCGAACTGCCCTGTTGACTGGCATTCATAGTGGTGAGTACATCATGTTGTTTGTTGTCCAATAGCATGTTGAGACAGTTTGAAAGACAATCATAGATTCTGCCCCAGGACTGAGATCTGTCCATGGGTCATGGCCAGACTATGCATTTGCATATATAGGATGACTTGCCAGGCTATAACAATGTTTCTTCACAATAAATCTGACATTGATTGAAAGTCTGATTAGTCAAATTCACAATCAGATGTAACTTTTGAGGACTGTGCATTAAAGGACAAGCAACACCACTAAATGTAGGTAATGCCCTTCAAAAACATGCTTAAAATCCCATAGAATATTCTCCTTTGGGTATTCATTCTTGTTTTGAGCTTGGGTCCAACTGGTCAGTTTTTTCTATGGCATGACATCCCATTCCCATCCCATCCATTGGTGTGTTTGAAGGTGTTGGTCACACTAGCACAGTGGTACCCCACCTTACTCCCTTTGCGTATGTCCAAGACGAGCCTGGACCCAGAACCCCAACTCCTTCCCTCATACACATATTAAAAGTGATCAGTTACAAACTTTATACAAACATACATACAGTCATGCAGAGTCTGGATTATACTATTCGGTGTGTTGATGACATTTTTATAAATGTCATTTTTGCTAATGTCATGGGCGGGCATTGTACCGATCTGTCATGGTGAAGAGAGAGCTGAGCCAGAAGGCTGGGCTGGGCTCTCCCTTAGGGATATGGTGAGAAGCTCAGTCATCCAGGAGGGGCTCGGAGTAGACCCGCTGCTCCTCCACATCGAGAGGAGCAAGTTGAGGTGGCTCGGGCATCTGGTCAGGATGCCTCATGGATGCCTCTGTGGTGAATTTTCCAGTTACGTCCAAACTGCTGAAGACTTAAAGGCACGCTGGAGGGACTACGACTTTGGATTGCCAGGGAACGCCTTAGGTATCCCCCGGAGGAGCTGGCCCAAGTAGTTGGGGAGAGGGAAGTCTGGACCTCACTACTTAAGTTATTGCCCTTGCAACCCGACCATGGATAAACGGCCAAAAATGAATGGATGGATGGATGGATGGATGGATGGATGGATGGATGGATTGATTGATGGATGGATGGATGGATGGATGGATGGATGGATTGATGATTTTTGCAAGTGTAATATTGGTAAACTCACAATCTCAGCAAAGACTAAATAGTATGAACTCCCTGTAATACAATGGGGACCTAGCTAGGAGGTTGGGAACCACTGCTCTAGCACATACATCATATAAAAGATACTCTACGCCAGTTTCATTGTTGCAGTCATAAACCTGCTGAAACACACCTGACAGCTCAAAACAACCGGAAGGTCACCAGGTAGCTTGGTACCTTTAGGGGTTCGACTCACACGTTTAGCTGTGTTGCTCATTCCACTGGTGCACAATCCTTACAGGTGATGCCTGGCAGTAAGGAATCAGGCTTTCCTAAACTATATCATTTACTGAGGATATTTTAATATATTAATACGCAACCAAACACAAATATTATTAATTCTTGTATTAAGTTTAGATTATTGATAATAAAATATGTTACTAATTCAAATCTGTTGGACCACCTCTAATAATTTTTTGCTCGTTTACTATTGCTACCATCATATATCTATTTCCCAGCATGATTCCTATTTCATGAGGTAGATACCATGTCTCAGCCAAAGGTCAGCCAAAAGCGTGTTATAGTTAATTATGCTCTAACGGGAAAACTGAAACTTTCATAAACTAGTAATGTCAGATTTCTAAGTAAAGGAGCTCTTCTGTAGTGGGAAAGTATTAACATAGGGGAAGTAAGAATGAATTGGGGAAGTAACGCTTGTTTGAAAGAGTCCCGTAAACTAAAGAAAAACCTGCTGAGCAGGACCGTACTGTTTAGTCTGCAGCCAAGAATTTAAACGCTGTTGTTGCTCATCAGCAGAAGAACTGGTTATACGATGACATGAAAACATGTTAACTAAAGCAACAGAGTTACCTACCTGAGGAAAGCGTCTGGTGGGGTCTTCTGTCCTGGACAGATTGTCCTTCTTCTTTAATCCTAAACTTGGCATTGCAGGTGTTACAATTACAGTTTCCCACCTGATTTACGAAGGCTTTCATTTGCTCGTCATGCAATTCTTCAGCAGAGGTCTGCTTCCGAAACCGGACAAGCAGTGATTTGTGTAATTCATTAGAACCGCCTTCTTTCAGGTAGTCGCTGCGTGGTTGGTCACACCCATGTGGTGTAGAGGCTTTCTCAGCTCTATACTTGCCTCTACTTGCAGCATAATGTTTCAGATCCTGCTTTTGTTATCTAGGTGAGGGCTTTGAGAAACAGGAAGTTGGAAACATTAGCATCTCACTTCTGATGAACTGTAAAGTCTACAGTATTGTTTCTCATTCAGATGGAAAATGTTAAAATCATATGCAAATTTAAACTCTTTTTTTCATAATGCATTAACTTTTTATCATTTTAGGCTGGAAAATGCTCACAGCTGGAAGAGTCTGGAGAGAAGTGACAGCATGTTGCAGACGTTTTGTTTAAGGGTGACGATGCGTTGGGAGCGTTGGGTTTGCTGACAGCTCCGGGCGACTGAACCACATGTGACAAACAAAACAGGCAGAAAGTCAGTTTTCATGTTTGCTCAAAAAATTTTCTGATGTTCTGCTTTGTTGTTGTTTCAATATTTGCTTTAGATATTTTATCAGCAAGTGTTTTTTTCCCAGATGTACCTGAAGGCCACACATGTGTGTGGATCATTCATAAGAATGAAATAAAAGTACTTACGTAATCCTGTTCACGGTTCTGGGTTCCAATCAGAACAGGAGAGAGGATGTCCACGTCTGATTTTTTCAAAATAAAAGTTGTTAAACATTTTGGACTATGTTGGTACACTAAGGTGGGTGTGCACACGTGTGTGTGTGTGTGGGTGGGTGGGTGGGTGGGTGTGTGTGTGTGTGTGTGTGTGTGTGTGTGTGCGTGCGCGCGCGCACAACTGGCCATCTGGCATATCTGGCCTCATCTCGGTGGGCCATTTATCCAAAGTGGGCCGCCAACCTCCCTGCGTGGTGGTTGGCAGAAACACTTTGGGTAATCCCTCGATCCTACACGTGCATGTGTGTGTGCACGCTTGCTTGCATGCATGCATGTGTGTGTACTTTGTAACTTAATAATCAAACTGACAAAAACAAACAGATTCATAGAGGCCTCTACTTTCTGGGTAAATACTCTTACTCTGAAGTTCTTTGGTTCCACAGCCCATAAAATTGTTTTAACAAATACAGCATTAAGACGTAGTTACATTAAAACCTAAACGTTTGCCGCCAGCGCTCATTGGAAATGTAAAAGTTCTCCATGGCTCAGATTTTCTAGCAGTAAAAGGCTTGTCTTTCTTTGCTGTAACAGTTTCCTTTTTTTTATGTTGCCCAAAAAAAGAACCTTTGGGTCGTGAGTGTGTGTCTCTGTTCATGGCAGATTTACAGAACATGACTTCACGTCTACTGTGGACAAAGAAAATGGAATTTCCAACTTGCTGAGGCTTCTCCCAGCATTTCTACCGCAATTACACGAGTGAGCGGGCAACAGGATCTAGCACTCAGCTAGTCCTTCTTAAGTGTTCAGCAACTAGTTAGACAAGTAATGAGTGAGGACGTGTGGGGGAATCCTTTACAGCAGTTACATGGAGGCCATGAGGGGAAACCCCCTGGTGAGAACACTTTTGGTAATCCCTCGGTCCTGTCAAGTGTGGAGTACAAAGAAAAACATCTCATTTACTATTTTGTGGAGATGGAAACTGCATATTTTTAATTTTTTGAAAATTTTGATGTTTTCTCACAGGTGTTCGACACAATTTCTGAGCTGTCTTCATAATTTGCTTGAAAATACAGATGATTGGTGGTTTGTTGGGGTCTGAGATAATAAGATATGAGCTAATCAGTGATCCTTCTTGGCCTGTGACCTCCACATCAACTACAGAATCCTAAGTGGTCACTGGCCTACAGGCTAGAGTGGGAGGCATCAAAAGGTTCTCTAAGGTCTGAGAGTTGTGTCAGCAGGTATGTTCAGGTGATTCAGGTGAGCAACATCTTCTTTCTGAGGCTGATATGGTGATGTTGCCAGCGCGTGCCGGTGAGTGTAGCGGTGGCAAGGATCCACATGCGGGTGAGGGAAGCAGGCAGGCAGACAAACCAGAACGAGTAAGAGTCTTTAATTATGGACACACGCTGGACAATGAAACAATGATCCAACACGAGACACAGAACTGAAGGGGTTTAAATACAAGAGGGCTGGGAGCTTGGGTGATTGGAAAACGAGAGGCGGGACTGCTGGTCTGACTGGGGGCGAGTCCAGGCTGGTGCGCCGAGCCGGGGCAGTGGCGAGCTTGCGGCTTCGTCCTGGGACACAGGGTTGCGGTGGAGCGCGGCATCCTTCCTCACGCCGTGGACCAACTCCGGGGAGCACACAGCCAGTCTGGTACCCACATAGCAGGAGCGGTCTAGCAGCGTCTCCCGGTCCAACCTCTTCTCTGGCTCCGGGAGGATGGAGAGGATCGCCGAGGCTGAAGTTCGGTGACGGCGCCTGCAGCGAGGCGACACCGGAAGAGGAGAAGCCGGCAGGTGGTCCGAGGAGAGGAATTGGAGCAGGCACTCCCAGGGGAGAATCTCCCCGCTGGATCCTTTAGTGGGTTGGATCATTCTGCCAGCGCGTGCCGGTGAGTGTAGCGGTGGCAAGGATCCACATGCGGGTGAGGGAAGCAGGCAGGCAGACAAACCAGAACGAGTAAGAGTCTTTAATTATGAACACACGCTGGACGATGAAACAATGATCCAACACGAGACACAGAACTGAAGGGGTTTAAATGCAAGAGGGCTGGGAGCTTGGGTGATTGGAAAACGAGAGGCGGGTGGGAGCGATTAACAGAGACACATGGCTGAACCAAACAGGGAGACAGGACAGGGTGTGACAGATGTCATATTATTAATCCCCTCAAAGATTATTTTCTGGTTCATTACAATAAATTTCATATATGATCCTTCAACTGTTGATGTATTTACCTCTATATAAAACTGAATAACAGGCCTGAAGCTACGGTTCCATATTGTTTGAAATCAACAACAATAGTCCCACTTCCCAAGTCTACTACAATCAACAGTCTCAATGATTACAGACCCATAGCACTCACACCGGTGGTGACCAAGTGCTTTGAGAAGCTGGTGCAAAAACATATCAAGGACTTCCTCCCACCCAGCATGGATCCCTGCCAGTTTGCATATAAAGCAAACAGGTCTACTGAGGATGCCATATCTAATGCTCTCCACTCCTCTTTGCAACATCTGGAGAACCCCGGCACCTCCGTTAGAATGCTTTTTATTGATTTTAGCTCTGCTTTTAATACCATTATCCCGAACATCCTTGTAGCCAAGTTGATTAACCTGAACCTCACCCCTACCACCTGTGGCTGGATCAAAGATTTCCTCACCAATCGCCCACAGGCTGTCAGGTTTGGTGACAAGCGGTCATCCACTCTGATGCTCAGCACTGGTTCCCCTCAGGGCTGTGTGCTAAGCCCCCTGCTGTTCACCATCTACACCCATGACTGCATTCCTATTCATCGCTCTAATAAGATTATTAAGTTTGCAGATGACACCACTCTTGTAGGTCTTATCCAAAACAACGATGACGCAGCATACAGAGATGAGGTTTGCCATTTATCAGAATGGTGTGATGATCATAACCTCTCTCTTAACATCAAGAAGACCAAGGAGATGGTTATTGACTTCCGAAGGAGTAAGGATGCCTCCCGCCCTCTCTGCATTAAAGGAGCTGAGGTGGAGAGAGTTCCCTCATTTAAGTTTCTCGGGATTTACATCTCTGAGGATCTGTCATGGACAATCAATACCACTGCCTTGGTCAAAAAAGCACAACAGCGGCTGCACTTCTTGAGAGTCCTGAAGTGGAATAGGCTGCAGACCAACCTCTTGGTGTCTTTTTATCGAGCAGTCATTGAGAGCGTGATGACTTACGCTATCCCTGTGTGGTACGCGGGGTGCACAGTAGCTGATAAAAATAGATACCAGAGGGTCATTAGAGCAGCGGAAAAGGTGATTGGATGCACCCTTCCCTCCTTGGACACTATCGCCCTGCAGAGGTGTCTCACTAGAGCAAGGACCATCTCCAGGGACATTTACCACCCAAGCCACTACCTTTTTGCCATGCTGCCATCTGGGAAAAGGTTCAGATCCCTCAGCTGCAGGACCGACAGACTGAGGAAGAGTTTCTTTCCCTGGGCTATTAGAACCCTGAATGGACAGAAAAATCAACCCTATTGATATTATTTATTGTATTTTGTAATGTTTTTGTTTTTTATTGCATGGTGCATATTGTACTTGTTTTAACTATTTTTCTTAGTATTTTTAGCGGATGCCTAATGTGGAGCTCTAGGAAATTTCGTTGAATGTGCAATCATTTAATGACAATAAAGGATATCTAATCTAATCTAATCTAATCATAACATGCAAGGGAGGATGGATTGTCCTGAATCAGGAGTTTGGACCTTGAACTGACATCTTAGGCAACACTGGCTTACCTTATATTGTGATAAAGCATCTATTCATCACATAGATAATATTTAGTCCCCAAATTAACCATTAAGGTGTGTTTTTTATTACAAAGAAATCAACAAAAAATGATGATAAATAAAAAGTATTAACAAACAGTGACTGATAAGCAGAGGTGTGAACTCGAGTCGTTATTGTAATGATTTATTAATTGACTTGATAAAATCTATAAAGACTTACGACTTGACTCGGACCTGAACGCCAATGACTTGCGACTTGAATTGACTTACATCCGTTGACTTGATGATGACTTTAGCACATTTGATATTTTAGCACAAAAGTGGCCCGACATGGACAAAAATCGTGAATCATCCTTGGTTCTGGGTTTGATGTTGTTCTGCTAACTGCAGCAGCACTTTGTTTCTAATCAAGTTCACGTTCTGCTTGTTTGAGCAAATAAATGAAGCTTTAAGAAGTTTTATTTCTGGGATTTATTTATTATCATTGTCGTTAAATTGAAGTTGGACAGATTACTTGATTATGACTTGAAAATTCAAAGTTGGACTTGAGACTGGGACTTGACTTCCAGATCATTGACTTTGGATTCGACTTGGACTTGGTTGTCTTTGACTTGGACTTGACTCGAGACTTGACTGGAAAGACTTGTGACTTACTTGTGACTTGCAAAGCAGTGACTTGGTCACACCTCTGCTATTAAGTTATCCAAAGTCTGATTTCACTTATTGAATGTCATTAATAATCTATTATTCAGCTCTTCTTCGCCAGGTTTCAGCAGCTGAAATAACAACAGGTGGACAGAAGCTGTCCCTCCCTGCGATGGACAGGAGACCTGTCCAGGGTGTCCCCCTCCTCTCAAGGTCCCCTGGAGTTCAAGTGGAGTTAGACACCAGATCCCTGAGACCCTACTGATGAGATAATGAGTAATAGTAACTATAATATAATAATAATTTAGTTTAAATATTGTTACTCAATATGAAATTACTGGGTTCATTTATTATCACTAAATAAATAAATTAAAAAAACGAAGTTTTCGCCAATAAAAAACTTTTGTTTTCCGTTTATTAGTATATGGTGATATTCTTGGACTTTATGTATTAAATATGAACCACAGCCCGCCCCCTGGCTGCTTTGTTTATCTGAGTGATGCATCTGACAGTAGGAGTCCTGGCTTTACGCAGGAGGTCGTTTACCAGACTGTTTTCCTGGAAATGGTCAAGTTAGAAATAATCACGTGGGTGGAAATACCTCAACTTTCAGCTCAGGCTGCTCCTCCCCGCAGCAGTGGAGGAGCAGAGGAGGAGGGAGTATTTCAGCCAGTCTGGAGGAAACGACCAGCGACAGGAGACTCCAGAGCCACCGCTTCACCTCCATCATGTGCGTCTGCCCTCTGGTTTCCATCTGCGCCTTTCTGGTGAGTGGCTCGTCCTGGAGCGCGATCCCGCCCCCAAAACGAGTTGTTTTTATCTCAAATAAACGCGTTAATGTTATTTTATCGATTGTGTTTTAAATCCTGGTTTTAAGGAGCTTTCTCCACCAGTGCATGCGTTTTTAACTGCGCTGTTGTTGGTTTTAATCCCAAATTCTCCGCCAAGTTGCGACACTAGCGCTAAACTTACTTTCACTTTCGATATGAGGCCCTTTGAACGCGGAGCTGTGAAACAACCTGTGTGGTTTGCGCAAACGTTTAAAACGAAGAGGGCGACGCACCAGCTGCAGGAGCTCATCAGACAGATGAGTGTGTGAAATGTTGGGGGCTTTCCACCACAGCTCTCTACTGTACGGTTAGGGGAAGTGAAACCGATCACACCAGGTCATGCGCCTAATACCTGAGTCTCGCGCTGTTTTTCCTACAGGTGTTGACTTCTGCTCAGGCCAGTAGCAGCCAGTTGTGTGACCCACAGACACAGTACCCTAGGGATGGTCAGTGCTGCAGCATGTGTCCTCCAGGTATGTAAAATAAACAGCACCCCGCTCTGATCTTCCTGTAGTTTCACTTTCAGCAGCCTGAAGTCCAACACACCACCAGCACGTGTTCATACGCCAGTGGTGGGTCTAAAAAGTTAGGTTTGGGGGGCAAAGGAGGCACCAGTGTTGCCAACTCAGCGACTTTGTCACTGTTCCTAATGACTTTTTGACCCCCCTCAACAACTTTTTTCCCAAAAAGTGCCTAGCGACAAACTTAGCGACATTTCTCAGGACCCGTTGCTACTTTCTGTTAACTTTCATGTAGATATTCCCCACAGATCAGCAACAAAGAAACCGTTTGCACTCTGAACCGTTCTTCCGGGAGTAAGGAAAGAGAACGATAATCTGCACATGTGCACGAGGACTGACCAATCATAAACCGTTTTCGGCCGGGCCGATTCGCTGAAGACAGAGTACAGCTGCAGAGCTGGAGACCGCCGACATCTGCTGCTGCTGCAGGCTCACGCTTCTACTAGAGACGGCGCGGGCGTCAACCTGCCATCTCTGGTTCTGCAGCCGTCAGACACTTTGGCTTTTCCTGCATTTGGCAAATAAAGTCATCGGGAGTTTCAACTACCGTCCCGTTTACACACGCAGCTCTGTGGCTCATCTGAATTTCCTTCAGTGACACAGGGATGGTTATACTATGAGACACCCGCTCCCTTTTGCTCGGAGCGCCGTTATTATCACGATGGAGAGAATACACAATGGAGAAGTTGAGAAACTATGAGGTGTAAAAAAACAGCTTTTTAGGAAAATGTCTGTGAGAATGAGGAGAGCAGGAGGTCTGAGTTATATCCTACAACAGAACTGTTTGGATCACTACACCATATCTGTCTTAATGCCACTTTATTGATACTTTTGGAATTTATTGTACATATCAAAGCAATTTGGGCCATTTTAATCATACTAATTAATAACTAACATATAACATAGTTTTTATTTTCCTCCCTTTTAGTCCGATTATATATATATAATAAATAAATATATATATATATATATATATATATATATATATATTAGATGCTATGGGGAAAACGAATGCTAATGTGGCGTGATGACATCATCAATATGTAAATTAGCACGTGACATCATCTGGCGACGTCTAGTGACTTTTGGGGGGAACTTCAGCTACTTTCAGTCAAAAACAGTTGGCAACACTGGGAGGCACTAAAGGTCTAGACAGGATGGTCATGCTGGACCTCCTCCCTCAGGAGTGTGGAAAATCTCCTTTATGTCAACAAAAGATCCACAAAACCTCAAGATCAACTTTACGCATATTTTTAATACATTTGCAGTGGTCTCTAGTAGGAATCAATGCCTTGTAAGTCGTACTCTGGGGTGAAAACTCTCATATGTGCTTGTTTTAGGACATAGAATTCAGCCTGAGGAGAACGTAGCTTCAGGATTTGGAGTCTTTGTTTCCTGATATTTGAACATCTCGCCTCTGATTGGCTAGCAGCGACACAGCTCTGCCACTGACTCTGTTTACTCTTCAACGTTGATGTTTTATCGTCACCAATAACTCGAGCCTGGAGGAGTTCTGCTGTGTGGAGGAGTTACTAATCCTAACAGTTAGCTTCTACTAGCCAAAACGTTGTCAGCTGTTCCCTGGACACTAGACCAACAACAGTCTTCCGTGTCATGAGTCAGGATGAATGAGTTCATGAACGTTAAGTGGCAGTGTGACGTAGGTCTGTCAGGATTTTCTAATCCCAGAATTTCAGCGTCTGTTTTCTATCAGAGGCTAATCCAGGAGGTAGGTGTAGGAGACTATTTTCATGTTCAGCCTGCAGGAAAAACTCCAGATTATTATCAGAAATAATGATTAAAAGTGTTTTTCATTGACGCTGATCGTTAAAGCTATTTGTTGTGGCACTAATTCTTCTAAGAAAACAAAGACAGTGTTTAGGTATAGATTAGAATAAATTCAGAAGGCAAATTCAGAACAAGAACTTAAATTGGTGCTCAGGACAGATTTCAGCCGGGCTCTTCGTTTACGTAATATTAACATAATCACAGCGTGATCTGCGAAGCCTAGTGCGTAGCAGTAAGCCGAGGTTATAGTGGGTGAGTGCGTTTCCGCTGGCCAAAGCGTCTAGGTTTGAACGAGTCCCAGACGCGTAGGGACACGGGTTAGGGTTTGGGTTAATCAGGCCACACAGGAAGTCAAATGAAAGTGGTGTAAGGCATCTGAAAACTTTCACAATAAAAGTCACGTGCAGATTTCCATTTGCTGAACTACTGAAGAAAACCATGGGACCTCCATAGCTGAGGTAAACAACAAACCACAGCGCTTTATGGAAACGGGCTTCCGTCTTTCTCCTTGCTTGTAATCTTGTAAACTACCAAAATCACTCGAGGTCTTGTAGTTCTGTGGTCATTTCATGGGACCAGCTGCATGGAGCGCTTTTGCTGCCTCAAGCGCGGGGGTCGGCAACCCGCGGCTCTTCCACCCATCTGATGCGGCTCTCTGTGCTTGTAAAATAATGAATGGATATTTAAATAAAATGCTTTATATTTTACTGCATTAATTTTACATCTGTATGCCAATTCTAAATGTAAAGATTGTCTGAGTAAACCTGAACAGGTCCAACCTGGTCTTACTGTGAGACCGGGTTGACGCGTCACGCTTGTGTATAATCATCGGCGCTTTCTGAGCTGAAGAGGACGTGAGATTCTGGGATTCTCCTCAGATGGCTCCTGGATGTGTCGCCACATTGGAGACAGGAACAAGCGCTATTCAGCCAAAGTTTCATAATCAGGGAACATTTTCTAAGTGACAAGTCTCGCTTCAGTCGGAGGGATCTTCCTGCATGCGCTCTTGTTCTGCGACGCGCTCCAAGCCCCTCTCCACATCTTCAGCTCGCTGTGGAACTTATGTACACGCTGACATCGAGGTGCGCTGAGCAGTGTCCAGCTCAGATGTTCAGATGAGAATCTTTTCTTGGGTGATTTAGCTACATCTGCGATGTGCGTAACTAATAAAATGTCAGTTCGTCTGCTTGCGTCGGGGTAATTCTTTCTATTCTTTCTCCGTCAAAATAAACGGTCAAATACGGGAACTGTCCGGTCAACACAAGCCCTGCTTTTAACTGTTCTGTTTTCTTGTGAAAATTGTTGCAAAGAGGTATAATTTAACTTGATTAACACCAGAGCCAGGCGCACTGCGCCGTTATCTCCGTCACTGTAAATGAGGGAAAAACAAACTGATCGGATCCTTTTCCGACCTTCCCCACCTACAAAGTTTAATTACAACAATCAAACGTGACAGAGCCTGGATTTGTATTCTGAACAGTCTAAACATGTTTTAAAAAGTAACGTATGACAAAAGTGGCACCTGCTCAGTAAAACCACCAACAGGGTGAAAAATATCGACTTCTGGATCCATTTTATATAAATCGTTTTATTGATTATCGTCTTATGAAAGATAACTTTGACGTACACGAGCGACCTGTACCGGCTGCTGTCACCTGTTGTGAGCAGCTCTCTGCTGTCTGAGGGTAGGCCCCGCCCACAAAGCCGCGGCGGCTGTGGCTCCCAGTGTTTTCTTTACTGAGGGAAACGGGTAATAATGGCTCTTTGATGGGAACAGGTTGCCGATCGCTGCTCTAGCGTCTGAAATGCTCCTGGTCGGGGGGTCTCGCAGGTCAAACACATCTGTGACTTCACACATCCAGCGGAAAGCTGGAGAGCTTAATGTGTGTTTGAACCACATAGAAGTAGGACCTCTACTCCCCGAAGATCCGTCTCTGGCTTCTAAACACACATTATCTTCTGTGGTTAGAATCTTTTATTTTATTTTATTTACTTCTGGATACTTTTGATTTTTTGCTGCTAGTTGTCCTGAAATCTGACCTGGCACACAGAGAGACCAGCCTTTATTTTATGAACCTAAGTTGTAATTCAAAAATTAACAAGAAAAAACAAATTCAGGAGTTGGCTGAGCTGTCATCATTCCACTAATGAATCTGTTACACGTCTGTTATTGACATTTTGATGTGCAACTGTGCAGGAACACGAATGCAGTCGTCCTCCAGCTGTTTGGATGCAGTGTGTGACCCGTGTGGGACAAATGAATATCAGGATAAATACACCACAGACAGCAAGTGCAAGCGGCAGCCATACTGTGACCCAAGTAAGGCCTGGTGGTGTTTTGGCAACATTTGCTCATTGTTTGTTTGTTGTTGTGCGTCTCACAAGTGAAGCTCCTTCATGTTTCAGACACAAACTTTGAGTCTCCTGTTGAGCAGAGCATGACGGTGAAAACCATCTGTATGTGTAAAGATGGATTCCACTGCTCCGGTAAAGAGTGCATCACCTGCACCAAGCACAGCACCTGTCAGCCAGGATATGAAGTAGTGTCTGAAGGTATAGAAGGCATGGATCGGCTTCACCTTTCGGGTTTTTTCTCCTGGTATTAAAGTCATTCGTCTGTATGCTTGGCTTTCAGGCAGTCAGACCAGCGACACCATTTGCCGTCCGTGTCCTAGCGGGACGTTTTTCAGCCCGACCAGCAGGAAGTGTGAGAAATGGACAGAGTAAGTACTTTGGCGGCCGCATGTCAAATGCACACATGGACGTCTTTGTTTTTAAGCTTTTGTGAGGATTCATCATTAAAGTGGTTAAAATTCCCCCTCCTGCCTGGCCTTGATAATACTCCCACCCTGATATTAGCCCAAATCAGGAGAACACGTTCATATCCGGGGTTGGGCATCGTTTGATTTTGAACGATTCCGATTCCTTGTTTTCGATTCCGGTTCCTATCGATTCCCGATTCCGATTATTTCAAGACGTGACATGTTTAACACGAGCTAGCTGCCCACAGGTCCGTGCTGCACACAGACAGCAGGTGTGATCAGCTCTGAAAAGCGCTAATCACAATTTGCAGGTCACGTTTATTTTTCACGGAGACCGGCCGCGGATTCCTCTTCCGGTCGGTATTCTAGGAATCGAAATAAAAAACTTTGAAGGATTCCGGGAAAAACTAACAGTTGGAACCGGTTCCAATCGATGCTCAATACCCAACCCTATTCATGTCCTCAAAATGCTTTAAGCAGGGGCGCATTTGAGTGTTTTTTAAGTTTCTATGGTCTTGTCTGGTTTATGGATCACCCTGACTGACAAGGTTTTCAGCAGATGTGGTTGCTGCTGCAGCTCCAGATCATAAATCCAGGTGGAGAGTTTTTTGGGGGGACTAGACAGCTTGGATTCAAAGTAACCATGACCATGCCCTTTAGATTCTGCATTTTAGCACTGCATCAGATTCTCCTTCTAACTCAGCACCAGCCTGTTGTGTTTTTAGTCTCTTTGCTTTATGCTAAGCTAACAATGTTTGTTCCGTAGAACAGTTAAAGAGCAAGTCACCCCCAAATAAACTTTTTTTTGCTGATAAACTAAATAAACGAGTGTCTAATCGTGCTGCAGACACGTGTCGTCAATAATTTGGCACTTCAGTGCATCTTAGTTAAAATTTAAATAATCTGTCTAAAACTGGCAGTGTTGTGCTGTTGTTAGGTAAAAACTCTGCACTGTATTCGAATTTAAATCTGCCACCGCTATTGGCTAAGAGGTATGCTATGATGTAAACTGGTACATTATGATGTCACAATGCTGTCGTGAGCCTGTGTGTGTGTATTTGTTAGTAGCTCCACCTTCTCGGTCTGCCTGGCAACAGCATTTGTTGCATTTTTCAAACATGAAGTGAGAGTGGAGTTAGACTCTGGTAGGGGGTGACTAGCTCTTTAAACGCGGGATGGGTTTTATTCCTCTGCGCAAACACGAGCATGTCGAGTCAGGAGTCATCCTTCAACGCTGTGAAATTCTTTACAGATGCGAGCCAGGGTTCTACGCTGCAGAAGGCGGAACCGGCGAATCTGATACCAAATGCGGTGAGTTGTGTGCATCTAGGAGGTTAGTCTCTCTGCTGCTGCAGCCCTGTGGTTACGTGTCTCATCGGTTGTTCAGAACGAAACTACCTTTGGGTTTTGTGGTTTTCAGTGTGAATCAAGTGGTTTCACTCGTGCCGTGTTTACATTACATCAGCATGTTGGCATTTCAGAGGAGCTCTGAAGAGATCGGGGCTTTTATTTTTCTCTTCTCTTTTCTTAGTGTCACGCCATCGGACTCACATCATAGTGGGTGTTATTATTGGTGTAGCTGTTGCACTGATGATGACGGTTGGAGTCTGCTGGTACTGCTGTGGTGAGCTGTTTTCTTAATGATCACATCATGTTAAAGGGTCCATGTCCAGCACTGTTCTGATGTTTGTTTGTTTCTTTGTTTGTTTGTTTGTTTTAGGTAATTCAAGAAGAATAGAACACGAAAACCTGAATAGACATGTGAGGTTTTTTTCTTAATAAGCATTATTTGTATACACGCATCCTGAAGGTCTTCCCAGCGCATCACTTTTTCAACACATGGTGTTAAAGCCTTGGAATTCCACACACAACACTCCACAATGACTATGTAAAAAGTATTTAGATATTTTTGCTAATATATTAAAACTAAAAAGTAGTGATGCACCAATATGAAATTTTAGGGCCGATACCCGATATCCGATATTGAGATCGCTGTTGTGCCGATAACCGATATTTGCCAATATCGATATGCTGACATTAATACTTCTAAAAGCAGCAGATTTTGCATAAAATGAAAATTATTAAAGCTGAATTTACGGTTTTATGCACACACAACACACACATTTACGCTTCTGAGATGATTTCATTCACTGCTCGCATGACTAAACAATCACACATCACCCCCTCACACCCTCTGCAACAGGCAAACAAATGGAGATAAGATGGAAAAAATATCGGTTGTAAATATCGGCCCGGTTTTATTTATCGAACCGATACGTTAAAAAATGCCTAACATCGGTCGATACCGATACTGATGCCGATATATATTTCATCCCTACTGAAAACCTGCTAAGTCACATGTGCATGAGTATTCACAGCCTTTGTCGTGAAGCTCAACTTGAGCTCAGGTGCTTCCTGCCTCCACTGATCATCTTTGAGATGTTTGTGCAGCCTAACTGGAGTCCACCTATGACATGTTCAGCTGATTGGACATGATTCGGACAGGCACACACGTGTCTAAATAAGGTCCCAGAGTTGACAGTACCAGTCACGGGACAAACCAAGCATAAAGTCCAAGAAACTGTAGAGAGACAGGATTGTCTCGAGGCCAAATCCAGGATTTCTGCTGCTTTTAAAGTCCCAGTTAGCACAGTGGCCTCCATCTTCTGAAGAAGTTCAAACCCTCAAAACTCTTCCTAGAGCTGGCCTGCCAGGTAAACTGTGTGATCGGGCTTGAAGGGTTATAGTCAGGGAAGTGACCAAGAACCTGTTGGTCACTGTCAGAGTTCCAGTGTTCCTCTTTGGAGAGAGGAGAACCTTCCACAAGGACAACCATCTCTGCAGCAATCCACCAATCAGTGTCTTGCCCAAGGACACAACGACTGACACGGACTTAGAGTGGGATTGGACTGGAAACCCACTGGTTACAGGATGAACTCCTTACCTCTGAGCCACTTGCTCCAGAGTGCTGGCCCTGGGGCGCCAGTTCATCTAGCCCTAACCCTGCCGGACAACTCTGAATCAGTGGCGGCGCCAGGGGGCGCTATAGCTATGCCTGGATTAGTCATAGCACCCTCAAGTAAATATTAGATTATTTTTTTACAATTTAATTTTAATTTAACGTGTGGATGTGATAATATTTAACATACAAAACAAAAATAATCAGTAAATTATCATATAGGTAGCAAAAACTTAAACCAAAACAGGAAATTGATGTTAACCTTTGACCTCATTTTCCACCTGCGAAAGAGTGAAAGGTAGAGCTAGAGGTAAGATGGATCGGTTTTTGTTGCCCACATTTCCACGGGTTCAGTCAGAAACGAATGAATGTTTGGAAGTGATCTCAGACCCACAGAAACCTACGGATCTGGATGAAGAGAGTCAACCCTCAACCGCCGCAGCAGTCCAGGGTTTAGCTGCTGGAAATGCTAACGTTAGCTAACCTTACAACACTATAGTTGGTTTTCTGTGCGGCTGTATGCGTTTATGATTTCATGGAAAAGTCAGCGATTGTTCATGTTTATGATGTATATGAATGATTGTTTCAGGTGTTGTTGAGGTGTTGTGCACGCATGTGTATCTGCTAGTGTTGAAGGTGTTTTAGAGAACAATAGGTATGCATGACCACTTCCTTCATAGCACCCTCCATAAAAAGACTGGATCCTTCAGAGCACCTGCAGAAAAACATTTCTGGAGCCGCCACTGATCTGAATGTTCCTGAGTGACCCGGCCAGAACCCAGGCTCGAGTTAACTTCTCTACAGAGATCTTAAACTGGCTGCACTGACACATCGTTCTAACCTGCGCACACATTCACACATGTGAATGGACTCTAGAAAGCACTATATAAAATACAGGCTGTTTACCATATCATTTAACCAGCTTGATGAGTGCTGCAGACACACATGGGCTAAACGGCCTAAAGACAGGCGTGCCAAGCGTCTGGCTCCATATTCAAACAGGCTGTAACACAAGTGCCCCAACAACATACTGAGCAAAGGCTGAGAGTACCTATGAGATTTTTTTTCAGTTTTTAGTTTGAACAACTTTGAGATCTCCATTTTTTATGTTATGAAGTGTTCTGAGGAAAAACGAGCTGAATCTGTTTAGGAGGAAGGCTGTTACATAAGAAAATGTAGAAAAAGTTATACAAATATTTAAAGAATCCTGAAAAAAGCTGAAGTATTTGCAGATCAGCTCTAGGGATGGACCAGAGGTGTGACGACACGACAAAGCATCAGTTTGCCCTGTGTCATTAACACTTCTGGAGACTGGTCAATCCACAACGATTACTAAAAAACTGAACATGAAGCGAGTTTGTTTTTTCACACTGAATTTGTGCATAAATCTGTCTGAAAGCCCTTGAATTGTTTTGTTTTCGCAGTCCGTAGAAGTCGCTCTGCACACACATGAGTGTGAGGACGAGCGTATAATAAGCAACCCCGTGGAAGACGAAGACACAGAGCTGGACGTTGGAAAAACTGATAACGGAAACTATTTTGCTCAGGAGAGTGGGAAACCGCCGAGGCTTTCTCATCAGGAATCCCAGACATACTGTATTAATATGAATAATTCATAACTGAATGTGGTACACCGTGTCATAGCTCCTTTATACGTACAACTGTAATGATAATTAAGTATTTATTTGTCTCGGTTGTAACCCTAATGTGCATGTAAATAATTACTGTAACATGAATTAAAGTGAAATGAATGTTTGTTTTATTAGTTGTAAAGAAAGATTTATTGCTTTTTATGTTTTTGTTTTAATGTAGTACTTTAAACACAAGCTAGACTGATTTTAAGACATTTTTAATGGATTTCTTGTTTTTATGTTTGTTTAAAAATGAAATATAGTCTTTTGAGCCAAACCGGAGTGTTGGTTTGAAATGATCTGATAACCCGCGGGCATCACGTTGGACATTTCCCAATTTAAAAGATTGCAGGAAAGTGGCTGCTTGAAAGCGAAGGATAAAGACGGTGATGTTCAAATGTGGTACAGTGTGTGGTGTTTTTGTGTTGTAGGGATACTCTGGTCAGGAGATGGGTCAGCTGAAGTACACAGCGCAGTTAATGTGTAAAAATATTCTTCAAAAATCCAGAGAAGGGAAAATCCATTCATAATGTGGTTGGAGTTGTAGTTGCTGTGTGTGTCCTCAGAGAGGCGCTAAAGCATTGCTGTAGGACTCAGCTGCAGCGCTCAGGACTGAAGCTGCAATTATGTAAAAAATAAATAAGCTCTTAATAAACAAACTAAATAAAACGATGGAGTTTACTTTAAAAATTCAAAGAATTTCCATTTTGGAAGCAGATCGGGAATCTGATGGGATTTAGGAGAGATTTGCATTCATTTTTGACTTCCAAGAAACTCCTGAAGACCCTGCTCTTCAGAGAGCATCTTCTGAACTAGCACCCATCCTCCTTCTCTACTGTCCACCGCTTGTTCCCTCCTCCATGATTCATCATGCTGCCTCACTGCCACCTACGACTGACTGGAAATTTGTTGTTGTTGTTAGCCTCAAGGGCAACATGCCGATCATCACTTGTAAGTCGCTTTGGACAAAAGCGTCTGCTAAATACATAAACATACACACCAGCAACAGATCAACCAAGGCCAGATGTCAGGAACATCTTATTATGGGCCATTCCCATCTGTACCGGGTCGGCCCGGGCCGGGTAGGCCCAGTCGGCCCCAGCCTGGCCCGGTTGATTCCACACATCCTTGCCTTAAGCCCATGTGGGCTGATTCTACCCACCAATCAGAGGCTTGCTCTAATGGAAGGTGTGAATCTGCTGTCAGCAGTGGGTGTGTTGGCCCTGGTCGGCCTGAAGCAGACCCCCTCGAGAAGAGGGCTGAGAATGAGCCTTGGTTGGCCCGGAACAATACCAGGCCACCCAGATATGTAAACATCCTACGCTACCCGCCCCGGGCCGACCCGGTACAGATGGGAATGGCCCAATACCTAACGTAACCTGTCTGCAGGTAATCACAAATATTTGTGTTTTTATATTTGAGAACGATGATAATAGCTGGACTGGAATTCAGCCGTAATGGATTGGGTTTCAGTGTAAAGGTTTACTAAAATAATTTATGTAAAAACCTGATCATGTTTTTCTGAACAACTTCTGTTCAGAGAATAGAGATTATGAACAACAGCCCTTTTGAGATAACCTCTCTAACCGTTGCTTTAGATGGCCTGTATGTTTAGATAGAGGCTTCTAGAGTCCTAACCCCCCCCCCCCCCCCCCCCCCCCAATCCCCATTTTTGCTAGATCTGTTTAGTTCTTTTTGTTTGGTTTAAAGATTGTGACATGAATAAAACTTTTTTCTTTCTACTTTGGCTCACATAACATCTGCTAGTTGGAACCATGTGTCACATTTGTTCCATATAATTTTTATTTTCTAAATTTTGAATTGTTTTGCTTTTATAAAGTGAAAAAAAAGTTGTAGGAAACACCAGAGTTCAGAGATGCAGACTGACCAGCAGGTGATCGGACAGCAGGGAGGTCGTCAGAACAAGGCAGTGGTTATGGAAGCAGAGATCCCACGTGACGGGAACACCAAGGACAAGGAAGAAGCTGAAGAAACATAAAAAGGCTGAAATAGGAACACGTGGAAAATCAAGGCCTCACTCACACCGGGTCATCAGAGCACTCAGGCTTGTGACCCTAAAGCAGGGAGACGACCCCCCTCCACCATCACAGCTGGTGGTAGTAATAAACTTGTCAAAGATGTATAAAATATTTAGAAAAGTAGCAGATCGACGCTGTTTTTAGACATTTAGATCTTGGCTGCACTGTAAAAAACTGTCCAGAAAAAGAAGAAATATCAACTGAGCTACCGTGTTGCTATTTCTCTGAACAGATGCTGTTCTGGAAGCAAACTGAGTTTATCCACAGAAACGCGTTAAAATCCAGAACAAACGCAAAGGCTTCTGTTGTGTGAGGCAGTGAACACTTGGTTCTGGTGGTGCGTGAGTTGCAGCTGAAACAGAACACACATCTGATTTTACTGAAAGTCAAAGTTTATTTTAGCAAAATATTTCTTCACGGATAAACAAAGGAAATATAATTTACAGTTCTGGTCCATTTATTATATACATCTAGTCTTTGGTCCTGCACAGATTCAGTCCACTAAGTCCGTGAGGTTCGGGGGTTTAAAGTGCACCAGCAGTGAGGAGGTTCTGAGCTTCACAGGACTTCATGAGAGGAGTAAAAAGCTGGAACCAGCAGTCCGTGTCGGGAAGCCCAGTCCGACCACAGTTTCCCAGCGGGGCAGTAGATCCGGTCCACGGGCTTCTTCTGGATCTCGGACGTGGCGGTTTCTGCCAGAGACCAGATTTTGGGTTTCTTATTGTCAGGGTTCTCCTTGCTCTCCGGAGCCGCGAGAACGTGATCAGAACCGCTGGTCTTTACGGGTTCCTGTCGCTCCTGCGCACTGCTCTCCTCCCGTGGGGTCTCCAAACACGCCTTCGCCGACGCGCAACTCTCTGGCGCGCTCTCCACCTGCTCACCTGCTGCTGCGCGCTCAGGCGCACACTCATCGTGCTCATCCAGGTGGCATTTCTCTTCCTCTTCATCACTGTCTCCCTCCTGCTCATCATCTTCCTCGTCGGACTTCTCTTTCGACGCCCAGCTGACCCGGTTCTCCTTCTTCAGGCGCCGCCTTGCGTTGGCGAACCAGGTGGAGACCTGGGTCAGGCTCATCTTGGTGATGATGGCCAGCATGATCTTCTCGCCCTTGGTTGGGTACGGGTTCTTCGGGTGCTCGTTGAGCCAGGCCTTCAGTGCGCCTGTGCTCTCTCTGGTGGCCACCTTCGTGACCCGACCGAGCTCGTCCACCGGACCCGTACGATACTGGGGGTAGAAGGCGCCCCCACGGGCCAGGAGCGCGTGGTGGTATGGAGAGGTGGCCCTCAGATCAAATCCGCTGCTCTGGAAAACAGAATGGCGCGTGAGGGACCTGGGTTACGGGGAGACTGATAGAAAAACAAATGATCTGAGGACTGGTGGACTTACCATGTGCGCGATGTGTCTCTGGTGCGGGTACGGAAGGAAACCGTATCCTGTAATCGGAACTCCAGATGTCAAGGCGGCCAGATGTTGAGCCTGCTGGTGCTGCACGCCCGGTGGGCATCCCAGCACCGGGATCTGGAATCCAGCCGGAAAACCGGCGCTCCTGTCCAGGAGGAAGCTCCCAAATCCAGGTTGCGATGCGGGCATCGTTCCTGCGTCCTGCAGCCAAACGTCTGGTAGGTGATCCGGACCCATACTTATACCCACTCAGCTGGGGGTGGGGGTGGGGGGTGACTGACACCTTCAAAAGACCTCCAGCTTTCACTGGAAACAAATCCCATCAAAGGCACTCTGCTGGTCGTCTTACTGGTTTAAGGCTGAATTCGGATCGAATCAGGTTAAAAAGCAGTTCTAGAAGTTAAATCTGAACTCGGATCAGTCTGGAGGCGCGTTTA